CTAAATATTGATGAGTGTGAAAGTAACCCCTGTCAAAATGGCGCAACTTGTGAGGACGGTATCAACGAGGTTTCTTGTGCATGTGCTGCAGGCTTTACTGGCCCTCTCTGCGAAACATGTGAGGTTCATAGGATTCAGGCGTTAATGACTGTCAAGATTTTTACCTGCGAGGGACTTTATCCGTTGCTTTTGTCTTGTCTATAATCTAGATATTGATGAGTGTGAAAGTAACCCCTGTAAAAATGGTGCAACTTGTGTGGACGGTATCAACGAGGTTTCTTGTGCATGTGCTGAAGGCTTTACTGGCCCTCTCTGCAAAACAGGTGAGTTTGATAGGATTCAGGCGTTAATGACTTTCAAGATTTTTACCTGCGAGGGACTTTATTCTTTGTGTTTGTCTTGTCTATAATGTGGATATGGATGAGTATGATCCGTGTCAAAATGGCGCAACTTGTGTAGACGGTATCAACGAGGTTTCTTGTGCATGTGCTGAAGGCTTTACTAATATCTCTGCGAAGCACGTGAGGTTCATAGGATTCAGGCGTTAATGACGGTCACGGTTTTTACCTGCGAGGGACTTTATCCTCTTTTGTCTTGTCTATAATCTAGATATTGATGAGTGTGAAAGTAACCCCTGTCAAAATGGCGCAACTTGTGAGGACGGTATCAACGAGGTTTCTTGTGCATGTGCTGAAGGCTTTACTGGCCCTCTCTGCCAAACAGGTGAGTTTCATAGGATTCAGGCGTTAATGACTGTCAAGATCTTTACCTGCAAGGGACTTTATCCTCTTTTGTCTTGTCTATAATCTAGATATTGATGAGTGTGAAAGTAACCCCTGTCAAAATGGCGCTTCTTGTGAGGACGGTATCAACGAGGTTTCTTGTGCATGTGCTGAAGGCTTTTATGGCCCTCTCTGCCAAACAGGTCAGTTTCATAGGATTCATGTGTTAATGACTGTCAAGATTTTTACCTGCGAGGGACTTTATTCTTTGTGTTTGTCTTGTTTATAATGTGGATATTGATGAGTGTGATCCGTGTCAAAATGGCGCAACTTGTGTAGACGGTATCAACGAGGTTTCTTGTGCATGTGCTGAAGGCTTTTATGGCCCTTTCTGCGAAACAGGTGAGTTTCATAGGATTCATGTGTTAATGACTGTCAAGATCTTTACCTGCAAGGGACTTTATTTTTTTTTTTGGTCTTGTCTATAATCTAGATATTGATGAGTGTGAAAGTAACCCCTGTCAAAATGGTGCAACTTGTGTAGACGATATCAACGAGGTTTCTTGTGCATGTGCTGAAGGCTTTTATGGCCCTTTCTGCGAAACAGGTGAGTTTCATAGGATTCAGGCGTTAATAACAGTCAAGATTTTTACCTGTGAGGAACTTTATCCGTTGCTTTTGTCTTGTCTATAATCTAGATATTGATGAGTGTGAAAGTAACCCCTGTCAAAATGGCGCAACTTGTGAGGACGGTATCAACGAGGTTTCTTGTGCATGTGCTGAAGGCTTTACTGGCCCTCTCTGCCAAACAGGTGAGTTTCATAGGATTCATGTGTTAATGACTGTCAAGATCTTTACCTGCAAGGGACTTTATTTTTTTTTTTGGTCTTTTCTATAATCTAGATATTGATGAGTGTGAAAGTAACCCCTGTCAAAATGGTGCAACTTGTGTAGACGATATCAACGAGGTTTCTTGTGCATGTGCTGAAGGCTTTTATGGCCCTTTCTGCGAAACAGGTGAGTTTCATAGGATTCAGGCGTTAATGACAGTCAAGATTTGTACCTGTGAGGAACTTTATCCGTTGCTTTTGTCTTGTCTATAATCTAGATATTGATGAGTGTGAAAGTAACCCCTGTCAAAATGGTGCAACTTGTGAGGACGGTATCAACGAGGTTTCTTGTGCATGTGCTGAAGGCTTTACTGGCACTCTCTGCGAAACAGGTGTGTTGCGTCAAGTTAATCTAGATTTACTATTCTAAAGACAATACATTTATGTGTAAGCTCACATCTGGATTGATGTATTGTCTACAATCCAGATGTTGACGAGTGTGAAAGCAGTCCCTGTCAAAATGGCGCCACTTGCGTGGATGGTATCAACAAGGTTTCTTGTACATGTGCTGCTGGCTTCACAGGCACTTTTTGTGAGACTGGTGGGTTACGTCAACTTCGTTTAGAGAGCTTGATTTTCAAAACTGAAACATCTGAGGGCGACATGTGGAGTTATGTCTTGTTTATAATCCAGATAATGTAGAGGGAAAGCAATTCCTCTCAAAAGAACGGAACTTGTAAGGATGGTATTTATGAGAATTCCTGCTGATGTGCTGCCGGCTTTCCTGCGCCTCTATGCAAAACTGGTGGGTTGCATCAAGTACAGTTGTGAAAGATTTCACTGTTGCCCATGTACACTCAATAAAGATAAAATTGTTGAGTACAATGATGCGCTCTGTCTAGTTTACGGTCTTGTCTATAGTACAGACATTATTTTATGAGAGTGAGAGGAGCAATCCCTGTCAGAATACTGGTGCGTCACGTCCAGATAAAAGAAATTTAATTTGCGAGGATGGTATTAATGAGATATCTTACAGATGTGCTTGCTTTACTGGCCCACTCTGCGATACGGGTAGGCAAAAATTTTCCACTTGTGGTAATTGGGAGAGTCGTCAGCTTAGAGGATGTTTAATACCAACATATTACAAAACAATTTCTGAATATTTGTTCGGTGGTAAACCAAGTGACTCTTCAAAAAAATAACTGTTAGAGTTTCCTGAAGTACACATTTCGCCTCAAAGTAACGTTGTATTTCACCAGTCTGTGACGAATTTTAACTTAATTGACTTCACTCTTTAAGTGACCACAAGAGGTAACGTGTTCTGGAAATCTGGTCTATCGTTAAATAAGAGTGGCAATAACGAGACATAGACAAAACTGTTTGTTTCACACAAAAAACGGTCGAATCCAAGAATGCCAGTTTGCTTGAAAGATTATCTGTTTGCTATTTAAGCCGTCTGCATGCAACTTGGGCCACAGTGTGCTTCACATTCGCTTAAAGACCACATTTTTTTCAGGGATGAAGTATTGATTTTATATTTGACTCAGATATTGCCGAGTGCGGCAGCAATCCTTGTCAGAATGGCGCCACTTGCGTAAATGGTATCGACCAGTAGGCCTCACTAGACTTTTGTATAAAACTCTTCAGTGTTTTAAGATGTACAGATGGCGTTAGTGGATTCTCCTGCACGTGTGTTGTAGGTTATAAGGGAAACCTGTGTGAAACTGGTCAGTTGGTGGCATTAAAACCCTAATCCCTTAGGGTGTGTTTAAAATCATACTGAAATTGGAGGACGTGAGACTGTTAGGGTTGAATTGCTGTGACTACTTTCCAATCACCAAAGGTGTACTCAATTATCCTAAAATCAGACGGTTTTAGCTTTAGAGGTTTGAACAGCTTAGGCCTATGGCTTCTTTTTTTTTATCTCGATTGTGTGAAGGTATCAATGAGTGCGACAGCAGCCCTTGTCGGAATGGCGTCTGTGAGGACGAAGTGAACGGTTTCCGCTGCCAATGTGACTCAGGATATGAGGGCGTCCTGTGCGAAACAAGTCAGTTCGGTTCAGAATTTGATTATCCCCAGGTTTTCACATTCATTTCAGGGGGGGATAACGGTTGTATTCTTTCCTGAATGGCGTTGATGGGCCGTAGTGGGAGACCCTGAGATGCTGGTGCAAGCAGATATACTGGTCCTTTTCAAGGTAATGCGCGCATGCTCAGAACTGGCAAAAGGACCTGTACGGCTACCAAGCACTTCAACGTGTCCATTATATCTAAAGGAGATTGTATCAGCAACAAAAATGCCCCTTATGCTACGATAGTGCTCTTTTTATTCTAAACCACTGGGTTTCTCTTAAAATTCAGGACAAGGTGTGGCTCATTGTCCGGTTTTTGTTTTCTTTTTTTTATCTTGTTTTTTGTCTTTAGACGTTTAACCTTTGACTAACTGCAGATATTGGTCTTACATCCTTGACGGCGGACAGTACACCCGCATAACTTCACAGGCCTCAAATCCGGCACTGTCTAATGTGGCATGGTTGTTGTCCTTCCGGTGATTTTTTTTTCACAGAGTCCTTGACTTTCTTCACATACCTTTAGCCATTTGCATCGGTGATCACCTTGAAATCGTGCTTGGCCATTTACAATGCCTTTCCCCACCCGTTACACAAATGGAGCAAAACTTCAGTGGAAATCGTGCTTTTGTAGCCTTCTTGGTATGCTCCAATCCAGTGCTGCATGTAGACGGACGAATATCCAGCAAATGGCTGGTCAACATCCTGTCAGTTTGTGATGTACATTGCCCTTCTGGCATGCTCACGCTATACAAATTTACTTTGAAACATTCCGGCCTTTTGTAGATGTTGAATCCTTGTTAGTCAGCATAAGGTAGTTATTCAGTGACACTCGTAGCCGGGGTTCCTTGTATGTCGTGGTATTAGGGTTGAAATGGTCTGGCGAAAACACTCTATAATGTGTCTTTACCTAAGTAATACAAGAACCGTATACAAAAGCAGAATGGTTCCTTAAAAAAGTTACATCCAAAAAATACACACAAACCAACCAACAGATGTCTACGATGTGGGTTCCACAGTGGATTTTTTGTGCTACCAGACAACTTGTCGCATGGAGGCGAGATTCTCTTTTTTCTATTTTTTTTCTTTTTTTTTTTCACTTCCTAGACGTGTGGTAGAATCTGCCAATGACTTCCTACAATTTACTCATAAGTTGTTTGTTACAGCTCATTCAAGTCCTTCGTTATTAACTTTGCTTTACATTTTTGCAGTGAGAAGCCTTTGCTGGTATTGTTTTCACTGTTTGGGGGTTCGTTCGTGATTGGCTGATACCATAATATCATTGTATCAGACGACTGAAATGCTTGTTGAGAATCAAATTTCGCGTGAGAAACTGACCCCTGGGCACACACTTGGTGGTGCACTACAATAAATGCTCAGAACACCACGATGACTAGGTCCCGTCCGCATCACTCAGTTGTCAGTATAAAAACCATAAAAGGTGTATGGGAAATCGCAATTAGTCGCTAGCTGGCGGTTTCAGTATTCATACGTGTATTCCGGCTACAGCTGAATAATTTGGAAACAAGGTCTTACGTCATTTTCTCTTTTAGTTGTTGGCTCCAAGGAATGTACCACTGATCCATGCATGAACGGCGTCTGCGTAGATTACGAAGGAGGCGGTTTCAAGTGCATATGCTCTCCAGGTTATGAAGGCACTCTCTGCGAAATTAGTGAGTTGGTCACATTTTATGAACACAAACATCGGCTAAGCTTAAGAGGGGTTTGTGGCGTTTATAATGCATTTTTTTCGCTGGCAAAGGAAATTACGTATATTGGGTATACCAGGCAAGATATGGGATGGAGGGGTACCCCCGCTCCTTACCTGTCCAATCCCAATACACACTCTAGACTATTGTTACCTAACACGTCCCCCCAGAAGTCTGTAAGAATTCCTGAGATCCTAATCAAACAATGACCAACACAAAGGCAGGGGGGTTCTCTCCGTCCCATATCTCGTTTCAAATGATATTGGGACTGCGCCTGCTTATTCCCAGTCCTTTTGTTTGTTTCTCAATTCCGTTTTTTTTTTCGCAGAAAGCGCCACGACACCACAGGTGCAGGTTGAGCTCACAAGTGAATACTGCATTCGGAAAATCGTCATTTTGAAACGAGGGGAATGCACAAGTGAGTAATTGTTCTTTCACTATCGATGTTACGTGTGAAATGGTAAGTGAATGAGGCACAGGCGAGTGAAATGGACATTCACGAAGTTGGGGTCTGGAAAATGACCAACTTAAGTGTCTATTAACAGGCGATCGTTTGACCGGTGCTGTGGTGCGTGGCGGGACCAGCTCCAATGGGCTTCATAACCCCGTGTGCGGCTCTGCTCTGACCGTTGAACAAGCCCAACTAAGCAGGTCTGCTGTGGACGTCGTTTGCGACCCTCCTTTGACGGCCAGGTTTGTCATCCTGGATATGCCTCTGTTGAGAGTCAGCCAGCAGCCGCTGTGTGAAGTGACAGTTGAGCAGGCGACAGTGGGACCCTGTAAGGAGCCATGAGTACACGACAGCTCTTATTTCAGTACACTTCAAAATAAACACTGAACCATTTTAATTGGGCGTTGGAGGGGATTTTTCCGGCAAATTTCAGCAAACAGTTCAATTTATCATAGGACCCACTTCAACAGAAGGTATTGGATTTAGTCTATGAGCAATCTTGTTTCCCTTGTGTTAATTCAAATTCGTTCCAGTGATTAGGGCTTTGGGATCCTGTATAAAAATCTTATTTCCAAGGAAAAAAGGTGTATGGCAATTTGAAAGGTGGATCGTGAGACCGCTGTTTGTCAACATGATTTTATACAAAAACTGTAGCGGATGGGTTATTACAGAAAAGCAGGGTTCGTAGACAGGGAACAGGCAATGACGCCAAAAAGGCCTGTAAACAAGGTTTGATGTCTTTTTTGTTTTCCTTTACGTTTTTTAAGGTTTCTCCTGAATTTTTCCCACGATCTTTTGCTAACGTTATACGTACATGGTAATGGTACGAAACACAAAAAGAACTGCATCTGTTCACACAAAAAGAGCAAAACAAAACCTTACTGATTTGACTCAGGAAAATTGGCGTAGATAGTATACAAACACAGAATAAGGAATACAAAGGAATCATTCACAATCATCGAAAAATAATTATGGAACAATGGAATCATACAAAACGACTTGCAATAGAATATCAAGGGCATTAACCGCTCTAATACCTCTAAACTGAACACTCAGAATGCGAAATAGATTTACTGTAAATAATACAGAAAAATCACACGCGGGAAAAGATCTTACATGCGTCGATAAGTTTTAATTTAACTGCACCTATTGGAAAAAAGTAGCAGAAATTACACTGAGGAATGGTGAGAGTGTAGTTTTGAATGCCCACCGAAGTGGAATGATGGAAACAAAACTGAACGGCAAAGCTAACAAATTGTTTGCACAAAAACGGATTTGAATTTCAGAAGAGGGAAAAAGAAACCCCAACACAAACAAAACCGTAGCGTCTGTGCAAAAATGGATGCGTATTGACGACAATGGGCGGATTTGTGTCAAAATTGGCCGGGAAACCTATATTACTACATATGGCAAATGGTTCCAATCATTAATTGCAACGCAGACTTCCCTGTGCATACCGTGTTAAACAAATTAGTACTGGCTTGCAACACGGCAGCCATGAAAACCCTGTGTAGATTTCAAGGGTGTCATACTAACACCGTGTTCAACTGCTATTCAACCTAGGATATAGGCCTAATTCCAGCCCAATTGGTGTCGACTATTACATGAATGACAGATCTGGACTGTCTTATTATATACGTGAAACTGCTGCATCCACCCAAACCCATGACAGCATCTACTGTATAACGGTATGGCTGATGTCAATAGACAATAGTGTAGTTACAGAAGTAGGGCATCCTACTACCGTTTTTTCAGGATTTTTTTATTTGTCTTTCCTTTGTAAGGAATGTTTGGAAAACATAACACCCAGTGTTAATCAAGGTCTAGGGCGGTATGTTAATACAGGTTATCTTATGTAGATTTGTCGGGCATTACAGGGACTACTAACTCATGAATACAGTGCTTTACAGAGATGAATGTACGGGTTGATATTTTTTTACCGGTAACTTGTTTCTGTTGGTTGAAGTGATGCTAATTGTCATTGTCAATCTTCTGCTGATATAAACAGTGATCAGGAGGATAAGACGATCTAATGATGCATACCACTGAATAGGCCTAATCACAGTCACGGACAAACCATTTAGTTTACCTTTTATGAATACTTTTCCTACGAATCTTCCGGTCTCACGCTGTGACGCAATCCCAGTTGTTATTCTTGGGACCGGGTGCGACCCCAAAAGGTTTTGAGAATGAGAAACTGCAAGTCCACTTAAGATTAGGAGGCCTGTGCAATTGGCTGCAACTACTATTTTTAGTAATGTTTTCTGGATTTGTCAGTTTGTTATTTGTGTAATGCAGGTCCAGAATAATCCCTGGAGAGTAGGCCAGATGAGAGATTCAGGAAACACCTGTTGAATAGATGAATGTATTCAATAGTTGGATTGAGAAAAATGGTTTGGATTATCGTACATAATGACTAATAACTTGGAAAATTATTAGTACTTCTAGTATAGATTAGAAAAACATATTTGCGGGTTAAACAAATTTTGGCTTGAAAAGTTATGATTTGAATTGGGACGTTAACCCTAACCCTCCTCAATCCTTCACCTGTTGGAGGACTGAGAAGTGTTAGGGTTAATACATTTTGACATTATAGGAACTGTATGTTCGGTGATTTGTGGATTTCGAATAATGATGGGAATGTGGATGTTTATAGTTATTTGGATTCGCATATGTACTACTTTTTCTACTGACAAAATAATTTATGTTTTTAACTGAAAGTAGTGGGTGAATTAAGAATAAGGATGTTGATTTAAGTGTTTAGATGCATTCAGTTTACAAACGTATCTGAAGCGATAAACTTGTCACTGCACTTGCGGATTCTCTCTTTGAGACTCAGTGATTTTGGTTTCACTTGGATGGGAATTCAGTTCTATTAAATATAGCAGCATGATGTCTTTGTTCCTGCCTTGTGATTGTTTTAAAGTTGTTACACATTTTACAGTACGATCTGGGCTGGCTGTTTGAATAGTGCACAGAGACACTCGCGGGGAAGTATCGACGTGGGTGCTCTAACCCCTTTCAATCTATCTCAGTGAAATATGCTTTGAATTGAAGATTGCAGCATCAGCATAATGAGAGGAGGACATTAAAGTTTGAGTTGAAACCTTTTTTCTTTATAAATTAATATAATTTACTTCCCATAAGAGCAAACGTTTGTAGGGTCTGTCCCAAAATGGTACAAATGAGGAAAGAAATAAAACATAGACAAGTACCCTTCAAATATGATCGGTTCCGCAAAAGGGAGGACGACAGAATTTGGGGGAAACTTCCTGGATTTAAAAGGATAGTCTCTGGATAGCGTTTCGGCAAGTTGGCCCTTTCCCAAACTCAAATGAACAAAACTCGCGCTTGGAACTGATCAAACTGCTCATGTGTTATCATGATTCCCCATTAAAAAATGACTTTATCACCATAGCCTTAGCACCACCAGGATTATAAATGGACTCCACGGCCACGGTCGTTCTGTCAGGGTGTAGGCCTAAGTTGAGTTTTATGCTTGAGTCAAATGAAACAAAACAGGTACCAAGCACATTAGATGGAAAAGGGGACTCGCTGTGTGTTGCATGAGTTATAGGCCTACACCCAATGGGCCATTGCGTCTATACTGTGTCCCCTAAGATTTGAAAGGGATTCCCAAGATTCATTCAACACAGAAGAAGAAAAGGGGTTCATTTGTCACAGAATTATCATACAACACCGGCCAAGACATCTACGGGCGTGTGATAGTGCTATGTGTGTAACAGTGCCGTTTTTCTTGACACGAGTTACGGTTGCACTATTGAAAATCTGCGTCTTGCATCAAGACTAAGGGTCAGAGACTGAAGAGTCCATTACGTAATCAAACTAGGCCTACGGGTCTCAGCGAGCGCTCGCTGCCATTGTTGAGAAGCTCTCAACAACAGCTTAAGTCCGCCCGCCGTGTCGAGCCTTAGAGCAAGGCACAGAGCAAGGCATCTCGTTCATTCATGCCTGAACCATCGCAGGAGGGGGAAAAAAATGAAGTCGCCAAGATTCCATGTTCGTTTAGCGTAGGCCTACACCACCGACCACGGAACCTGCACGAAATCAACAGGTATGCTTAATTCCCTTTCTTCTCCGATGTGAAACATAGCGCAGTGGCAAACGTAAATTTGTGCCTGAAATTGCGGGGAGATGGGGGGTGAGGAATGACTTGTCCGGCCCTGGAAATTGGAAATTTTAAAAGGTGGACGGATGCTGACAACATGATGATATTATACTCTACAGGGAGGTTTAGATCATGCTCTACATGTACATCTGTAAATTTATTACATTCCTGTGGGATCTTACACTAGACAGGCATATTAATGACTTTTTTTGTTTATGATATCCCTTTTTAGTGCTACTGAATGTTTCAGTTGTTGGGAATTCCGAAAAGTCTTCGCAATCAACAAATTTTCACCACAGAAAATCCCCAGGGATATTCCATATCCCGGGGATTTACACCCAGCGTGTGGCTTCGAGGAAAAGAGCACTCAATCATTTGGCATCCATTGGTGAATATTCTCGAAATATTGCCAGAGTTGTCCAAACAGCTCCATGCAGCTTTAACGTTTACCAACAAATTTAAGCCCGCTAACAATTAAGCTTTGCAAAAATTCATGTCTGCCCCCAAACTCGGCCCATTATGCATAGATCAATGGTACAGATGGTCACGAGTGCACGTCTATTCGCCCTGGGATACTCCAAGTGGCCAAGAGGGTCTAACATGTTTATTTTCCGAGGTCAAAGGAAACATGGCAAATTTTGGTCACCCACAGACCTGAGGGGACTTAAACTATGGTTGCTCTGACGAAAACTCACCAATCATCAATATCGACCTCAAAATTGTCCCAGAAATTCACCACTTAATGCCCCACTTCGCGAATATTGACGTTACTATTCACGTCCGAAGTTCCTGATTTGCTGTCCGGGTCAAAAATATTGACGTCTATAGTGTGCGACTTGCGGCAAGTCGTGAGTTCTGACTTGAAAATTGAAGTTAATTTCGACTCTTGGGAATGTCCCTTCAGAGCCACCGCAATAGACAAGTATGTAAGTGCATGGCCGCATTATGCCAGTACCTAATGTGTTTTATGACACACATTTACAAAATATGAATACCAAAAGAACAAGGACTTTGAAGAACTTTTTAAATGTCAGTGTGAGATTTTCTGAATTTTTTTTTTTAAGTGCACCAAGTCAGGGAATTTGACGTTTTTCAACACAAAATTTAAGGTATCGTGATGCGCCACGTATAAGAACACTCCGACTCTACAGTCGGATTAATAACGTGAAAATGCTGTACATTGTGATCGAGTCGGGCCACCAGTGTCATTGGCCGTATGTGTTTTGACAGAGAGCTCACTGGTGTATAGGCATTATTATTGGACTGGTTTATATAGCTATATTGACGGGTATTGCCGGTGACGTCATAAATGTGGACCAATCAGAACAAGGCTGCCGACAGAATAGAGTCCGAAAGTAACAACAAATCACTCATCAAGCTTTGGGACCCCTTGCACGGTCCGCATATGGGGATTTTACATGAGGCCATCCTATCACGTTCAATATTTTTGGAAGAATAATTCCTTACTGAAACAATCCCATGAAACACTCATGTTGGAATGTTACCTTTGTGTTCCTCAAGCACTGTTTTGGAAATGACACCGGAGATTGGTAAAAATAAATTTCATGAACGACCTTTCACTTCCGGCACCATCGGTCCTAGGTTAATGCAGTTGAGCTAGCACAGAAACTGCAAAAGGCCTAACCAAGAGGTCATTTATCGAAGGATAATACTCCACGTACAAGGCCTATTCTCGAAAATTCATTTCATATTTACACTTAGATAAACTTAGGTAGTTTTGGAAGATTTTTTATAGATGTGGATACAAGAGTTAATGAAATGGTCACCAGATGGCAAATGTATGCAGTTATAGCGCAAATTTTACACAAATTTAAATTACTTTAGTCCACAACAACACACCGATAATAATCAACATTTGATAGGCCTAAGGGAATAAATGTGTATATTTACCGGTCTTAAATGGTCGTTTAAAAGTTCAATTTAATAATGAACTTCTCAGTGGGGCGAATGCAATATCCGAAATTGGGTTTGCTTGAGTGTACAATCATTCTGCACCTTTCAGTGCTTTTTATCATCTACATGTATTTTCAGTGTCCTGGTTTTACTCCGTTTAATCTCCAGCCTGTTTCATTCTGACACCTTTGGCTGTTGCTTGATTTGGAGTTGGGAAATGCTTTAGCAGGCGTCGTCTCCACTGCAGCAATCCTACTACCACGACAAGGAACACTCGATTGTCGATGAGCATTCGATGAGACTAGAACGACAACTTGCTCCGATCTTGCTCTGCGGCTGAACATGCAGCGTTCTTCTCTTAGTGGTAGTCATTAATTTTACCGTGGGGCAGTTTGTCTTCTGTTTAAGTGACTGCACACACCCCTGACATTGTTGCATTTAGCTCATTACAAGGCAATGCTTTTCGAGAAAAACTTAAAACTGTACGTAATTATTCCAAAATGGAAGTAATTGTATTAAAATATCGAACTTACTGGGTCTAGATTAGAAGTCTTTTTTTTTTCTATACACTGTATTATGAAAGGGAAGGTGTCACAGTGTCGTAACCAATGAACTGCCAGGCTAAAGATTCAGGTCTAGAAAAACTGTTTGCAGAATCCCGCACGTTTTCCTAGATACAGTTATTTCAACTCTGCGCAACCTGCCAAGAGATTAATATTTTAATTTTGTCTTCGAACAAGCGTAAAACTAAATTTACAATCGCGACATTTAAAAGTCGTCAATAGATTTCGCGATTTAACGTGTACTAGATTTATATATATGTAACATCTCCTTGTGTGGTCATTATACGATTTATTTATTTATTTATTTATTTTGTTGAAAAAGCTATAACGGGCGTGAGTATCAGGGTTCGTCTTTCGGCCATAGCGTCTTGAACAAAGACTAAGCGGTCCACTTCTTGAGGTCATTCCGCAATATCACCGAACAATGGCGCTATCAATGACTTTATTGATCGGCAATCCTGTTGAAAAGGAGTGGACTAAACTGACAGCGCAGTACATCTAGAACCATGGTAGGACACATCCATCCAGCACCGCGTCTTTACGTGTGGCGGGGTGTACATAGTTGGGATTACTCGTTGGCTGCAGGAGGAATGGAAACATAACTTGGCCAAATCAACAGGTAGGTTACTGGCACCTTTTTCCCTTGTCCATTACCAAAATGGCTGATCGACGTGTATGGGACATGGTCAACAAAAAAACGTACCACTCTCTTTTCTACATGTAATGGTCCTGGAGGCTGATGGGAAAGTCATTGTAAAAAAAATAAGAGACGCAGTGAGGGTATGTATAATTTCCCTAAATAGAAACTTGTCACTGATTGTGATGGTCAGCCGGATCCCTGTTCCTTTCTTAAAAAACGGAAGGACTTTTTCTGTAGGAGTGAACTGTCCCATCGTTTGCATTCAAATTCATCCGTCTTGGATTTTGCTAGAGCCTATGATATTGTATCCCATCAGAATCTGTCACACGAGCTTAGCCACTATGCAGTCAGAGCAAACACAAAGCCCGGATCTCTACATTTCTTTGCAATCGCATTCAAGGAGTAAAGCTAAACAGCAAGTTGTCAACATGAAATCGATTAATGTCTCCCCCAGGAACTATTTACATCTCTCCCATTCCACATTGCAAAGTATTAAGGTTACATAAGAGGTGTTACCGGGCCAGCGTTATTATTCTGTCCTTGTCTTTCCGCTCACAGTGTGTACCCAGCGAAGCCAAATGAAACTATTGAGCGGGAAAACACGTCTCAGCTTAGCTGCGTGCGCTGTTCTTGTGGTCATCATTTTCAGCAGTAAGTGTCAGAATCCGAAAGAAATCAGCCTTTTCGAACATTGTATTCGTTCTAAACCATTTTACCAGGGCCGACTAACTCTCCTTCTAAACAAGCATCATAATTATGATGATGACGAATTGGTGTCGATGGTAGCCCTTAAACTACTCGGCACTAGGTGGCCAAAATCGAAGGACTCGCAGTTGTGGGTCCAAGTCAGTCTTCAAGCATTCAATCCATTTATATAGTTTGGGGCGGGGTCGTTATTATCCGGTCCCTGTGCATGAAATCGTGTACATGTGCAAATCATTTTACTCTGCTCCTTGCTGAGCGACACTGTGTATGCCACGTTTCAAATTTCAGACCAAGCGTTACTATGTGGTGGCTGATGTTTAATGGGCCTACCAATTTTTGTGAAAGCTTCGTTGTGGGGGCATTTCATGAAAATTAACTTCCCGACTTTGAAAAACAATATAGGCCTACTTGTCTCAACAGCTTCAGTCAGAGCGTACATGTATGCGTTGCAGATGCAGGCCTGGCTTTGAACACTGCTTACATGATAATGAAATATGGCACTTTCCCCCCAGCAAAGCAAGTACAGCGGCTTCACCCTTGGAATCCCAGGACAATTGCAACATCCGAGCCATTGGTTACAGATCGCAAAAATCCCCGACTTGACAGCATGGAGACTCCCCGTCTGCCCGTCATATCATCTGTCAGTGATGGTTTCACAGGCCCAACAGCCGCCCATCAACCAGCCAATGGTAACCCACGTGTCAACCCACATCAGGACCTATTGGATAGCGGGAGCTCGCGTAGTAAGTCTCCTGCGCATGCGCCGGCCTCGGGGAGCAGCAGCCATTCTACACCTCAGAGAAGAGTCGTCCTGACAACAACCAACTCCGGATTCCTGGATTTCACCGAGAATGTCCTGAGGAGCATTGTTCAAACGGGTGCTCCCGCAAACATGACGATAGTTGCCGAAGACGAGGAGGCGTTTCGTGTGCTTTCAGAGACCGGTGACAAAATGTACCAAGGACTGCACGTTATCAAACCAGAGTCGGGCGAGCTACCTTCCAAAGGAGCGGCCATCGACTTCGGGACAAACGAGTACGTGAACTTCATCAATCGTAGAGCAAAGTATGTGTTGGGATTCATACAGCAAGGGTTTGATTTGTTCTTCGTGGATGTGGACACTTACTGGTTCCGAGACCCGTTTCCTTACTTTGAAGGTGATTTTGACGTTGCCTTGATTCGGGATTCCCCCAAATGGGGTCCTTACAATGGTGGTTGCATGTACTACAGGCCTACAGAACGGACAGTGCAGTTGCTCAAGACATGGATTCGGGCCATGGAAACGCAGACTAAACACGAGCAAGACCAAGCCATTCTGAATCAAATCATTAGAAAAAAGAAAGTCCCGAGGCTGAGGATACGACATCTACTGGACAAGAACTTCCCAGGTGGTAGACTATACGCCACGCGTAACAACACGTGTTTCGACATGAGCGAGGCTGTCGTGTTCCACGCAACCTGGATCCCGGGGCACGACAAGAAGATGGAGATGATGAAGAAATGTGGCATGTGGCTTGATAAATAGTAATACAAAACAATCCTGAGATGGAGCTAGGTGAAAGAGCATGACGACATTGTACAGCCAGCTAATGTGGGCATGCGTACTGTGTAGATACTAGAACTGTGCCAACTTGACATGGCTGCGCCTGGGTGTAATGTGCGCAGCTACGTAAACCACTGACCAGCAACGGATGAAGCCACTTCCCACAGCTCGTGTTTTACTACTTACTTTAGCCATAGCCCTAATAAATCGAACTGTGTGTTTGAACCCGAGTAGGCCTAGTTCAAATATCAATGGCTTCCTTAATGACCAAAGTCAACAGGGTGACACACTAAATTAGTCGCTAGAAATGATTGTAAGTATCAGCTTGGGTTTAAACAAAAAGAGATGTCTTACTTGTAGGTACGGATTGAAATCACGGCAGGAATCGTCATTGTTACTTTCATACCAGCCAAACTCAGTGGAATGTTTTGCTCCTTCAAATGCATTTTATAAGTCACACATATACATATAATACATAATAAGCTGACGTCAGGGGTGACGAATACTGATGGTTCTTGCAAAGAACATTGGAATTTGACAGAAAAATAACACTCGCGTCTGGGAGCACGGACGGAATCTGATTGGAGCCCAGATCGATGGTTAAAAGGTCGAAATACTGATACTATTTAACGCATTACTTCAAACTTCCCAAAAGGAATCCTGTAATATTCCCAAAGCAATTGTCAGGGTGAAAAAAGTACATGTGTGTGTACTTTCTTCTCGTATACGGTACCAACAGCGATTACTGTTTCCAATCAGATTCCGTCCGTGCTCCCAGACGCGAGTGTTATTTTTCTGTCAAATTCCAATGTTCTTTGCAAGAACCATCAGTATTCGTCACCCCTGACGTCAGCTTATTATTTCCACTCACGTGAGCTCTCCAAAGGCGCCTGTTTTGCATTTGTGATATCGTAAATCAATGCCGCCGTCCCGAAAGCTTTTATGTTCACACAGTTTCCGTATCATAGAGCTGATTTATCAAACAGCTGATCCCTAAGGTTTGAAAGAAACTTTGCTCGTTCGTTTCTCATAAGGATTGTATTGCTTTGAATGGAAAGAAAAACGGCGGTGAGGACCTCGTATTTGTGTTGTTCATGTACAATCCCTCGAGTAATAAACCTCTTCGACATTCTCGTTCTATCAGGGGATTGGGTGGGTAATATAAAACACAACATTACTGGTTGGCACTTCAGGGAAACTGTTAACGACAGGGTTTGTGTTGAATTAACCACACAGTTTGCTTAAGGCACGACTTAACCCGTTTATGTACTCAAATCACAAACTGCCTGTAAAAAAAAAGCAAATCGTAGCATTTTATTGAATATTTTCTCAACTTCTGACAATCGTATTTACAAAACTTCTTTACATTTCCATACCCAATCCTTTACGTTTATCGTAACAATTCATATATTATACATTTAATTTGACTTTATCTGGTCTCGTATCGTCTTGATATTGGCCTCAAATGTAGAGTTGCAACATCCACCATCAATATGCAGAAAATAAAACGAAATGCATTATGAATGTCTTGGGCGTTGTAACAGTATTCTTCGAAGACCTTATGCATAAAGGAAGCTATTTTTGATCAGGTCCCCTGAATCTATCATACTCGATGTAATTTATCAAATGAGAGTGGTGCCAGATCTTCTGGGGTTCCATTCCTCATTTTCACGTTTTGAAACGCTGCTTAGAACACATGAATAAATCACATATTTTCAATTATTCATTGTCATAAATAAAAACCATCCCGTAATGACGATTTGTGTATGACGTCAGTTTCAGCGCAATTTCTAAGAGTCACGGAAACTACGCCGTTAAACATCTTGATAGCCCACAATTCAATAATTATTCTATTTTATACCAACTACATCTTATACCCTGCTGAAAACCACTGTCGATTGGTGTCCATTACTGTCGAATCACTGCCAACGTAAAACCATTTGCCTAAAATGAAAATCTTAATTGAATTGCACAAAGGTCTCAAATGAAAACTGGAGACCACCTTTTTAAGAAACTAATTTTCTAACCAATACAAAATACTGGCTACAGTTTCAGGTGCATAATATATCTACTATTGTTCTGGTATTATCAAGGCAATATTGTACAGATATCTGCTCAGTGCTTGGTAATGGATACCACACACGGTAAGTTACATACGGTAGTTATTCCGGTGGTAGGATGGGTTTAGGGCGATTGATTCATATAAATGATTCCGCCATTAAGAAAAATACATAAATACAAAACACACTATACAAAGGTGTATAAACATAAATGCAGCCAGATATGAAAGGAACATCTGTTTGCTGCAGGCTTTGCCCCACCCCCCCCCAAAAAAAACCATCGGAATTAGTACCACAAACTCCAGCTGAAAAGTATTGCTTCGCAGAGGCCGCGGTTTGTTCTCGGATACTCTCACCCTGTGGAGGTCGTTTTTATTGTACAAGGAAAGTCCCTTATTTCCACCAGAAACGTTCAATAGACTGCACCTCAAAGATGGCGAAGCGGACATACTTCTGGGAGATGCAACGCTGAGTGCAAACATGAGAAAAGGATTGTGTAAATAATATGATTAGCGTGTCCAGTGAGGGCGTACGCAGAGAATTTTACTCTTTAAACAAGCAAAATACAGAAGTTTTGGATTTGTCTTTGGGGAAACCATATTGAAGACTTTGATGTCCTTTTCAAAACATGTTACCGGGGGACCTTACCCCCGGACGCCTCAATATAGTTCGGGGATGCCAAGCCATTGCATTTTCGGACCCTGTCCAGCATCTGACTTTGCGTTTCTTTTGCAACCTTACCGATTGCCTGGTTTTCCAACTCACGGCTAGTCGTCCTCTTTTGCACTCTGCTTAAAACACAAGAAAATATCCACAGTGTGTCATAGACTTTGTCGAACAAAATTTAGGGCCAGCCCTAAACTGACTGTTTTTCCCCCAAAGTGAAACGGTACCGCCTGCCAAAACATGAACTCAGTAATAACTCAGTAATAACTCTACATACGAAGTTCAACCTGTACATTTGCACCTGTACATTTGCACCTGTACATTTGCACCTGTACATTTGCACCTGTGAAATCTGCTTAGGCTGCATCTCTGACAATTCAGCCTACGAAACACGAAACCAGTACATCATAAGCTGCTGCATCACACACAGTCTCGTAAAGCGTCTTTGATATTGCATATATGAAAGGGCACACACAATCCTGACTTGTCGCGACAAAATGAGCTGAAAGTCAGATTTTTTGGAAATTGAGATATTGGTATTTTTAATCCAATAGAAAAAGAGTTTACCATTAGTAAAACGAAGAGTGACTCAAATGCGACATTATTCCGGCAGCTTTGCGTCTTTGTTTCCGAGAGTTTCAACATTTCTGATCGAGCAAAAATAATGCTATCGTCAGTGTCAAGACAATGGGTGTAAAAAAATCTGATCCTCTTAAGATCATCAAAAATATTACAAAACAGAATAACTGAAACTCCCTTCAAATTTAGTTGGTGCAGCTTGACGCTCATTTTGTCTTGACGGGTCACAAGTAGTTTTGGTCACGTCATTACCACTCAACTTTCGTCAACTTGGGCTTATCCCCCATCTAACATTTTTTTAAAGCAAAAGTAATGAAAACATATGAAAGGGGAGGGAAATCAGCAATTTCCTAGGGAAACCGACATATACCCCCCTCCATTGCTACTGGTTAAAACTACTTCGCAAACTGGCAAACAAATCCTTGTCATCATGCCCATGGACATCAGCTCTGAGCCCAAAATTACCATTCCAGGAAACATCAATCTTTAGTTGCTTACAACTGCTATTACACTAGACCACAATGTGCTAACACTAGACAATATCATGTGTGCATTATGCATTTAGTGTACCGTAGCACGACAATTAATCTACAGAGCGGTTTTATTTTTTAAAGTGGGTATTACACTGTACAAAGTATATAACAAATTTACGGATATAATCTCTTAATAAATACCTTTCAAGAAAACCGCAATGGTGATTTAAACATAGTTTCAATTTCTCCTGTCCTTTTTTTTTTAACTGTAACTTTTTTAAAGTAAAATAAACATTTTTTGCATGAAAGGAAAGAATTCTTGGAAGATTTGAAATGGCTGTGTCTTACAGTGGTGAGTCTGCCAGGAAAAATGTCTTGAATTATACACATTAATTTGCACATTATTTCATTCATAATTATCTGTACGGTGCAGTCGGGGCTATGTACCGAGACGGCCCCCGTCTGTGGCTTTGGTATCGCTGACAGCGCTCTGGCTTCGTCGGTGCCTTCGTAACTGTAATCGACCCAACCTACCAAAGTCAGTCGCAAGTAACTGCCCGGTTTGAAGCTGAAGGCCTCTGGGACAGCATCTTGCACGCGGGCTCCTTGCTCCAAATCCACTTGAATCCTCCAGGTTTTCGACCACTGCAATGCCCTACGGTCAGTGGCGTACCTAGGATTTTACTGGGGGGGACAGCTTTCAGTGGTGTGGTTTTGGGGGCAAGCTTTTGTTAGCCTTGTTCAATATACATTCATCCCTTTTTTCGGGGGCGGGGCCATACGGGAATTTAGGGGGCACATCCCCCCCCAGTGGTTACGCCACTGCCTACAGAGGAGCCTCCACAGCTGAGAAAATAGTGCCCTCTCTTGATGTAGCTCGAGGCCAGCAGTCATATGATGATACTGCACACCTTCACTCCTTGATGCTACCACCAAGCAAAGTTTCAGCACAATGCCCGTTTTCATCCAGAAGCCAAACCAGCGATATCGCCAAACTAATTGCTCAGTTTTCCCTTTCCAAAGCGAAATACCTGGAATAAAGAACCTACACAGGACTTTTGTGAGATCCCATCACAACTAGAAGCCTAGAATGTTCAAACTGTATCATGACATTCCAAAATATCGCCTCATGTCAGGAAAATGCCAGTGGGAAGAAGATTGGGAAGGTGCAAGTTGAAACAATACTAAATGCTACAGCACATCAAGTAACAGACTTGAAAAACGTACTATCATGCCTACAGGATCTGACAATCCCTAATTTTCCCAGGAAGTCTTTAAAGCCAGGTGTCCAACACCTTAAAATTGGGCTCGCACCTGAAGCTTAGAACCACACACAGGTTTTGGAAATGTCCCTATATAGGTATAAACTTTACCATGTCTTGATCAGAGTGTTTAAATATGAAAACAAATAGGCAGAGCCCAAGTTACTTGGCTGTGGCTTCAAATTACATACAATACTGTGGATAGTCGCTGCAGCCACTATCATCAACTCTCATACACATTTGTGTAAGTTTAAGCCACAGCCCAATTAGTCAGACACTGCCAACCTATTCAACATCAATTCACTAGGCAGCACCATTTAAAAATGATATTCTAGGCCAATCTGAAAGTGGTACATCTTCAATTTTTGGTCTCAGGAGCATCTCTTGGAGTACCAGTTGTCATGGTAGGCTTGTCCACAGCTACAAAGCAATCCTTTGGGGCAGCGGAACGATCAATGTAAAACCTTGGTGTTTTCAGTTTTGACAATAAAGGTGACACAGCCTACCATCCTGGAAAAAACATTAACCCTGAAGTTTCTCTCTCAATTTTGGTTTTGCTTGGAAAAAAGTATCAGAATAAGTTTACAAGAGTACACGTACCTTATTACTTGTCTGATTAAATGAGGCTGTTGATTTCTGATCACTTCTTTGTGATTTAGAGGTGGGAGGAAAAACCCAGGTAAACATGCCACGGACACCCGTGAAATGAGGCAGGGACTGAAAGCCCAATCCACATGTCGGCCTGGTTGGGATTCAATCCCCAGGGCTGCAGAGGTGGAAGGCTAGGGAGAGAGCCACCACACCAACCTGACTCCCCTACTCTCTCCTGACAATGTATGGACAAAACGACCTGGCCTCAGAGGGGTGTGAAAGCAATTTTTAAAACAGGTCTCGGAAATTTGCCTCTTTTGAAAGAAATTTTATCTTTTTAAATAGTCATGACATAGACGTCATTCAGCAATCAACAACCTCTCTGATGACAGTTCCATGACAACTGCATTGTTACGGAGGGAATGTCTATATTTGGAGACTAAGTGTATTTGGTATCACTATTTCGTAACGATTATGTATCGTCTGAGTTGAATCCCCAGGGGGGGTGTATGCCGGGATGACACCCCACTCGAGTAAAAATGTATCAAATTATAAAACTCCTGCTCACTGAATGGGAATTAATCGTAAGAAATAAAAATATAACCATATTCTATTCCTCTTTATAAAAAAGACGAATGAGCCAGGTTTCTCTGGTCCGAAGCTCCAGTTTTTCACCACCGATACACATCAACGAGATCACCAGCAGATGTGGAGAAACAGGGTTCTACTGTATTGTGTCGGCCACTTTTAACATGTTAATCGTAGCTGTTGATAACATCTGGGCACTGACTGCACGTCAGTGGCAAACACTCGAAGAATGTCATCAGAGTTGACTCTGTATGAGAACGTCCTGGAATCTCAGGGAGAAGCTCTTGCCAAAGATCAACTTTGTTTCAGTTGCCTTGCATTGATTTAAGAATCAGTCCTCTTTCTTGCTCCAACCGACACTGGGTTGGCGTTTAACCTTTCTGCATAATGGCACTCTCAGCGTTGAGGAACCGTACCGAAAGGCATTTCAGCACATGGTCAAGGGTGGCTTCCCGTCTGAGTAAGATCCTATATTTGTACACATTCTGCTGGAAATTTAGTCACACGTACTTGGTGTCATTCACTTGAGAACCACTGCACACACATGTCCATATAGAACGTGACATGCACTTCGGCACCTATGCAGCTCTTTTAAAAGTGAAAATCATGTGCACATCATGTTGAAAATTTGGCCATGCACGTTGAGTGTCACTCACACTTGTCCATCACTGGTATTCTTGTTTAGGCCACACAGTGTCATCTGCAGATCCTCCCTTTGGGCTGTGCAGCCCACAATGCTATCTGTTCACCATTTACAAAGTATTCCCAAACCCTCTCACCCAAGCTTGCTGTCGTACAATTTCTCTCCCCGAGGTACGAGTACACGGTCACTCTTCAGGGTCATGAGCCCCCTCCTTCATGTGCTGGAGGACCTTGTCCAAGTCTGGTATCCTGGTGGGTTTGATGCCCGTGTGGAGTTCTTGTAATGTCAGTTCCATCTGTGAAATGATACAACAATCAGAGGATCCAAATTGGTGAAGATTTCTCACTAACTTAACTACTTTTTTCAAGAAGTTTTGGCAGGATTGATTCGATGATGCAAATTTCTGGAGGTCGTTTGCCTTTTCCATAAAACGCCAAGAGGGGAAAATAAAACTCCCTAAGGGGAAAGACACACACGTTCCTGTGAAGTTACATACTGTTCACAATGTAAACCACACCACTGAGTTGCCATACCACTTTTACCAAGGAGCATGACTTCATGGGGTAAACAATGCTTATTTCTCATGAGGTGCAATGCTCTTTTCAGGCATACAACATCTCGCCTCATGAGGTGCACCTTGCACTGAGCCACGCCCCAACTTTCTTATGAGGGGGCCTTGTCTGAAATATGAGATGCTCTGTACGCAATACCCAAGGATGCAAGGATTGCTAACCAGGTATACCATCATGCTTTTTTTCACATGGCAAAGCCCTTGTTATGAGATGCAGCTATCTTTCCTGAGGTTTATACCTTTTTCATGAGTTCGATGCAGAGTCCTAGCACCTCACGCCACCGTTCCATCTCTAACTCGTGGTAATATAACTGCTTCTGGAGTAAAACTGACCACTCTTCTTTGGTTTGGGGAACATCTCTGTAAAAGAAAATGTAAAATGCGGGGGGAAATGAGTATTTCAAATCAGAAAAGTCACGAAATGCAGCGGTGCGGAGAGGAACAATGCTATTGACCATCGTAAAGTCCAGGGTTACTAAGTCAGGCTCTTGTCCAGAGACGCTTCAATGTAACATGGTGAAGGCCTGAAGTTAGCCATTTATTTCAGAAGAAAAAGCCTGAAATCAGGCTTCAGCCTAAGAACTAGCAACCCTGTAGAGGCCAGTGACTGGGCTGGTTCATCCATTTGGAAGTGTACCGCAAAGATCTTTAATCAGTTATACATGTACCCGTACATGTACAGTCGACTGCAGAAGGCGAGGACCACCCATACAAAACACATTAACCTGAAGAAAAACCAAACTTAAACCAATCAATCATGGCAACTTATGTTTATTTTCAGTGTGTAACCTTTGTGTCTTGGTTAAACACCTATTTGACTACATTTCCCTAATTTGAAATGTTAACAGTCTAATATTTAGTCTGCCCTCCTTTATTTCTGATTACTTGCACTTGCTTTTTTTAACCCATGCTGCCTTACGGACAAAACATCATATAAGACCAGCCTTTGCAAAACGATTCATTCAAATAGGTACATGTACTAGTATACAGCGTTAAACTGACGTTATGCACCACTGTAAGTCATTCAATGAGACAATGTAATGCTGGACCAATGACAGGAATACCAAATAATTCCAGATGACCTTAAACTGTTGCAAATGACGGTATAAATGAGATATGAATCCTTCTCCAGATAGCTTTCTTTGGTTCACAGAGGAAAAAAACCAGATACGCCCACATCTTTGCTGTATTAACCACATGCTGCCGGGTGCTTTTTTAAAATGCAGTGCACACATATGGGTATTTTTCAAGATTTTCAGTTTTCAAAATTCTTCAAATATTCAACATTTCTTTTTAATGGATGTTTACACCCACACGAATGACTGTTTGGTGGCTGCTATAAGCTGAGAGGTAACCTTCATTGACTCCTGAATATTTCAGCAAGGCCTGCCGCCCTGTAAAGAGAGCCCAGCATTGTGAGGTGTTGCATTATTTCCTTTGTCCCCAGTGAATGCGAGTGGCGTCTTTTCAAACGCAGTTGGATTAGCATGCAGCCCTGGAGCACTTTTGTCCGTGGTGCTAGTCAGCGGGCGCGCTATGCCCAAAACATTGGTATACTGTTTAAAAACAGAAAAATGATGGCAATTCCCAGCAGCAAGTTTTTTGTTCCGAGTACGGTCTTCTGTTACATGGACCAGCTCTTTTGTCCCATTTCGGGCACCCCGGCTCTGCCTATAAAACCCATGGTGCTCAAACAGGATTCCCTGGCAGCAAGCGGTTAACACCATGTACATGTATATATATGTCTTGGTAAAGACAGTGTACAGTACTTGACCACTGATTTTGCATGGCAAATATGCAACCACTCTAATGCATCCGTGAGTTTTCCCCTAGTGACGATAAAATAATTTATTTTGTTCCTTTCCCCGATGCCGGATCTGGGATTTCCTTTTGCTGGAGCCAAGCCAAGAAATTTGCTATAAAACCTGTGTAGATTCACGTATAGAAGTGTGATTTTGAACCAGGAAGTGCAGCAAATGGGATAGGAGCCTGTTAGTTAATGTGCAGGTTCTGGCGCCAATGCCTTTTACACGTACACATGTGCATGTGACATACTCCTTTTGGTACTCTTATAAACCCAAACCGCCTCAGCACCTTCAGCCGGAAATGAAAACAAAGTAACACACTGCAACATAATGAAATATACGGTAAGTACTAACAAGTTGAAAAGACCCAGTGCTTTCCCAGAGCCAATGATTTCTTGGGTAGTGAGATTTCCACTGTTACCAATCAGCAAAAGTACTCGCTGCCTATAGCCTCTGCAAAGTCAGCAAAAACCAAACTTGCGATGCGTTGGCCATGAAGTTAACATGTTAAAGTTTTGCAAATTCAGAAGATTAAAGAGGCTAAGTCAAGATTACGTTAAACAGAATTCTCTGTACCCTTGAAACGACACTCACTTGAATCTGTCTGCAAAACTCCCTGCTGACCATTCATGATCGGTTCTGACTGCTAGCTGCTCTAGGGTTTGTAGTTGCAGAAACAATGACACGTTGACTATTGACAGGAGAGTTAAGCTGTGAAGAAACAAAATACGTTCCATTCAAACTTGTCCTTGGCACGTAAAGCAGGCACTGAAAAAATTTATCATTATTAGGATTTGGAGTCACGTTGTGTGTGGTCCAAACATCGATACCGGTTACATGTACGTGAACTGGAAGACAGCGATAGCCACTACTATTGGCAAGGATAGGCAGTAAATTTATCATATTTATTATTATTCCGCTATCACATCAAATGTGGCCCATTAAAAAGAACCCTTGCATGATCTTGAGTTCCCTGACTTTTCCATGACTTTTGTGTCTACTGGCCAATTTTCCATGACTTTCCGAGACAACTTTTATTTCTTGGATCTTCCATAAACGTGGGAACCTCCACTATTATTTGTACACTAATTACATGTTGTCAAAAGTACTAACGACCCTCAAATGGTACTTACAATATACATATGAGCAGCATGATGTTTCGGGAATCTGTCCGAAGCCAAGGAGGTAGATATTTTGCTAATAACGCTGAGAAAAGAAGAAGCAAAACACATAGAACTGGTACACGATACAAGGCTTCTGTTAAAAAATAATAACTTTTGTTATTATTCAAAGTCAAAAGCCCTAGGACAAGTGCCACATGAGAAAAATCGGAATTGACCATCCTACGTACCTCAAATATGGAATGGTTCTAGCACTCAAATCAAAGGTCATCAAAATGATTTTCCCCCCTTTTTATTTAGTCAGCATTTGCTATAATTGGAGAGATTTTAGAATTTTTACAAACGACCTGCATGTACATGAGGTACTAAATTCTCAAAACTGAGAATGAAATCAAAGAACACTTCGATTTTAAAACCCCCACTTTGCAAAGTTGTTCACTCAATTCTTCCATTTGTAGTCAGCACTTCTGAAGTTCTGGACATTTTGAAAGTCTGACAAACTACACTTTGATTCAAGTTTAAGTGCCAAACACAAACAGAGCATAATAAGCCATGTCTGGATCAACTAGCTGTGGCAAGGACATGCATCTATGGGCCCACCTGTCACAGGCAGCCACAGCCATAACAATTGGATACCGTTTATAAAATCACTTCCATGGGTGTATATGTATATTGCTCACCACAGCCATAACCTTTGAATGTGGTTCGTGAACTCATATCCATTCAAACACAAGTTAAAGTTAGCCACAGCAAGAACTTCTAAATGAAGTTTATGACCTTCCCTCCATAGGTGCATATGTCATGGCTAGCTGTAGCCATAACGTTTTGGCTGCAGCTTATGAAATCACTTGCACGGGTAAGCATACTGAAGATAGCCACAGCTGTAACTTTTGGTAACAGCTTACAAAATCAGATCCATAATATTGCTAAATCACTTTTGGAGTGTAGTTTGCTGAGCTCACTTGATTTGGTGTTAATTACTGGCATCGAATCCATCCTCCTGATGGGCCGGGCCAACTCCTCCTTGTCTTCCTTGATAGCCATGCCTGCCAGTTTCCTCTTCCTTGCCTTCTTGGTGGCATCTTTAGCCGGCTTCCTGCTTTCCAAATGCTGTCTGACGTATGTGTCTGAAAGGAAAAGTGGTTGAAAGTTCTGGTCGGGATCTGGTATTTTTTCTGTTTTGGGTCTGCAAAAGGAAAAAATATGACGAGAGTAGGGAGGAGAGATCAACTATGAAAAAAACGTAAAACCTCACAAACGTCCAAATTTCCAACACTGGGAAATCAAGCGTTGAAATTCCATCCACATGATCAGTTCTGTACGGACTTCTAGTTGACTGTCCACATTTTGTTTTCCTCGGAAGGCAAATGACATACTTGCAACACTGAGCAAGGGCATGCATGGGTCCAATCACATTACTATCTGACACTAAGTCCACTGCCCATGAAAATGTGCTGCTGTCAAAATAGTCCTTATACAGTACCTTGTACATCTCCTGTGCTACCTCTTGAGACATTACGGTTGTGGCGGAATCACCATGTCATGTCCAGTTCAAAGTAATAATTTTGACATGGGGCAATTATTCAGGAACCTGATCATGGTTCATTATGCCTTTATCATCCCTCAAACCACCTTAGCTCCTATGCAACCTCACAGGACGAGACAACAAGTTGGATGCAGTGGCTTGCTCAAGGTCACAACATGTACGCACCCAAAAGCTGGATTCGGACCCCTAACCCCACATCCATGCGTCACGAACCTTTCCCACGACATCGCATGCTACACGCCTGCCAAAACCCCCACCCCCATCCACAATCCACCCCCCCCCATCATGCAGATGCCAAGATATGCCAAGGTGTGCCAAGTCAGCCTGCCTGCAGGTTCGTACCACTGATGCTATTTGGCACCACGCTGCTCCACAAAACACAGAGCAGGCTAACGAATTCCCACCTAGTTCAACGTGCTTGACTTTGATGCCACTCTCCGAGTTCCTTTCAATGAAGCTTCTGATGGGTCCCCACGGTGACTTCTTGTAGACGAGATGGGCCGTTACCCTAATACATATTATAGAAAAAGTCATGTTGTAAATGTATAATTGTGGTGACATCTGTTCAGCCGCTCCAAAGTATTTTTCAAAAATATTTTGTCATAGGAGTAGCTCCCTGAGGCATCTTATTTTTATGGTAGACACCTTTAATAGCAAAGGTTCCCTCTGTATGCTGTCCACCTCCCACTAGAGAGCTTCTGAGCTGGGAGGCTCGAACTTGGAAAGAGCACTGCCCTTCTGGCCTGACCGTTTGTTTACACCGATCATCTTGGGTCAATAGGATTAGGCTACTATTGCTTTAACCCTTCAAAGTGCAAGTGCTGCACGGAGCATGTGCATTGTACTATCCTGTATGGCACTTCATGCTTCAGCACACCAAAGTAGTACCAGTGAATTTACGGATCACAGGCAATTTTTTTGCCAAAGGATTTAACAGATCAGAAGCTGGGGAAGGTGTTGAGATGTACACAGCAAGAAGGCATTGGAAATTGGGCCGCTCTCTCTTGTGGAGAGTTTCCCTCATAGTATCAGAGTGGTTCACCTTCGATTAGGCAAAACAAGGAAACGTCCCTCTCCCAGTGCTTCACTCACCTCCGTGACCATCACCACTATAACCAGCACCAAAGTAACCTCCACCACCACCGTCATTTCACACAACCCCATCACCGTCATCACCACCACAATCAACCACAACGACCTCTAAAGCCAAAATTTCTCACCTCACGTGGCAGCTAGAACTGGAAACCCTGGTGATCACCATCCGTGCCTCAGTGTAAAAATAATCGGCATAGGGGACCCCCTTCTGCCAAACTTCCAGGTTGATCACGTAGCTGTGGCCGGGCCGACTCCAGTTTTTGAAAAATATCTGTCAAAAAAATGAACAAATATTATCATATGAGAGGAAATACCTATTAATACATGTAAGTTACGCCATTAAATGTTTTAATGGCCAGGACATCATGAACCATGCAGATGTAGAGATAATCTGACCCGCTGAAAAAATAAAGCACCACATTATTTCCCAAGCAGGTAGAGACACCATTGTGAAAAGCCTTTCTCCAATCTCCGATTCTCAGACATGAGTGGAGGACCAGTTTCAGGTATACACTTTGTACGGACATTTGGCTGGTAACCTGTTTCTTTGCAGAAAGTGACCTTTGCCCTTTGTGAGTCACCCAGGCCCCTTTGTCAAGCCTACGTCTGTCTGTGTGCATTTAAGCTTTTCAAATGCTTCCTTTATCACCGGTCGCCATGCTCTCTGCAAAGGGCACATCATTGTCACCACTGTCCTGATCATTGTCGTTATCCGGGATACTTACTTGACGCTCCTCTACACCACACGACTTTGGCCCCACGGTGTTGTTCAAGTGGAATGTGTACGATACGCTCCTGACGTCCCTCTCCTCACTCTGCTCCCATTCACCGATGTCAATATCTGATGTCATGACAACAAAAAAACAGAGGAAGAAGTGCATCAGAGAAATGGCAGAGGGCACTATATCAAGACCAATGTGGTTGGCATGACAACCAAGAACCAGTTGAAACCAAATTAATGTCATAAGACCCTTCCCACTCACATGACAAATAACTGAACATCATGCTCATGTCAACACGGGCGATTTACAATACAGAAAATAAATAGTGCCAGAAAGAGTTTGCGGCAGACAGACCACTTTTCAAGTTTACGGTAGACAGGCTACTGCAATTAAGCTCACTTGGTATGCAATTTGGGGATATTTGATTGATTGAGGCATTCTGTGCACTACATAAAATCCACCATTTTGACATCCACCCATTCGCAATAAGCAATTTCGAATTTGCAACCAAGATAAATAACATACGGAAAAAATTTAAGTTTTCCGTGCACAGCGCAATTTGCGAATAAGACTTTATCGATTATCTATCCCATAATGCAGTGTAAAAAGGCCTCTTCATGACAACCTCTTGGAGGTGCACTGCATTGTGAGTCACCCATATTAACCTTTGCTCAACTACTCATCCGGAACAACTCAAATGCTCAGTGTTTACAGCGTGGACTTTTCATGTCTGGCAAAGCATAGCAGTAGACACCATACCTGCCTTACGAACCAAGAAATGCCAAAACAGCAAAAAAAATACACTGGATAGATTTCCCCTCCCCCCCGCCAACTTCCAATGTAACCTCCCACTGCTGATGAGCTGCTGTATCACTCAACGTACCATCCTCTATGCTGGGGCACTGGCACGTGCAGCTGACTGTAAGAAAGCTGCACTCAAATACATGGGTTCTAACTGCCAAGTACAGTTCAGGCGTAACACTGGGCTGTGATCAGGCAGACTAATTCTCTCATTGGAAGGAAACTTACGCTCAGAATGCAAGGGCTGAAACCGCCTTGTGCTATGCGCACACAAGGCTGTGCATTGGTTATGCTGAGCAAACAAATGCCTTTATTTATCCCTGCCTTCCAAGATCCTTTCCCCGGTTCTTCTCAGAACCACACATACTCAAGAAAGAGATTGATCCATGGTGTAACCGCAATTGTTTTACTCACATAGTTCTTTCACCGTGAAAACCTTCAAGTCTTATCTAAGATCCTTTCCATTAGAATGTTTTGAAGGCTTTTGAAGGATCAAAGAAGGTAGAAAGCCCAGCCACTATCTTTCAGCGAGGTACTTGGAACTTCTTGACAGATGAAGGACAAAACGATGCCTTGGGCTTTCTGTACAGTGGAGGGTTTCGAAAGATTAAAGCAAGGTCTGTGGCAAGAATGCCTCCTTGGGTGTTAAGCGATGAGAGCTTACCAGTATGCTTTCTGTGGAGCAGGAAATTCCTGTAGAAGGGGTGTTCCTTCTTGTACAGCGCTGCAAAGAACTTGTCCACCGTCACGTTGAAGTACGAGTTCATATACTCCTTGGCTTCTGGATGCAAGGGATTCGGCTCCAATGACTGGACCTCACCTTAATTATATTAGGGGGGAAAAAAACGTTTTCTCAGCACGGACAGCAAGAGTTTGACAAGAGCACATAAGATTGGAAACGGAGAAACATTACAGGTAAAAGAAAGAACTTTTCTGAGTTTTCTCCTCTTATCCTAGGAAAAACTTCATGCATTGGACTTACAAACTTTAAGGGATGCTTGTGGGTACCTCAAAAGCAACAGAACTGACAATGAGTCAGCTTGGCATGCAAACAGCACATACTAAAAATGAAGTGCGCCGTAGGTCATTCGAGAACTTCATAGTGTGCATACATCAACTATTGACTCTCATGAACTGAATATATCCGAGCTGGCCTGACGTTATATATGTACTTGTACATTTCGTTCTTGAGTAGCCTCATCTTTGAAATCCCTAACTGTCTCAGAGGTAAAGATAGCCATCGATTGAGTGCTAGCTTGGCTCTCTTGGAGGTCCCTGGTTCAAATCCCTTTAAAGTCAAATTTTCTGTTCAATCGCACATATTAATCAATATAATACAGGGGATCCACAACTCAGTGCACCACCGAGAAGTTGCCATGAAGAAGCCCTTTTCACAGAGCCCTGCGGGAAACTGGTCAACGAAGTTTTATTCATCAGCTAAGCTGTGCGTGCGAAACTTGAACTGGTCCCAATTAATTCTGTCTGGGTTGAAGATTTCAAAGTATTTGTTGAATATCGGTGTTAATCAAGTTGGTAGATTTTTGTGACGTAACCAATGCCCCGATAAATCAAACATTTCGTCAAGTTGTCCATTCACATTTGGTCAAAAGCAAATCGCGGCAAGTCAGCCATGTTTTTCTTGACCATAAACTTGAAAATGGCCTTTCTGTGGCAAACTCTTGGTGGTGCACAACACTGTGAAATGCCCATATCCTGAGGCTTTTGACCCTTGACCCTTCTTCACCTTCCTCATCCAACGCTTTTGAAGCTGGGACATCAGGTGTACCCCCTGTGTCGCCGGAAATGGTGAGGCGTTGACCCTCAACCTCTGACCCCTCAAGTGTTTCCAGCTCTTCATTGTCAACCTGTGGTCACCACAAACAGAGGAGGGGAAAAAGCACATTTCAAAATATGTCTGATCTGAAAAACCATGTCAAAGGTCAGATGTAATAGGTACACAAAAATGTCACACTGGAATCACCCTACAATAATATGACTGCACAGGAGGCACTGTGCTTTCTGGGCTATCTATCAGTCTTTTGTAATTTATCTGCAGTGTTAGTTTGACACAAAATATCCACTACTGTATGTTGGTTCTGGCTAGTGACAGCTGATGTTATTTTTCACGCTTGCATGCATGAATTCTATTTTTTCACCCCTTTCAACTTTGATTTTGACACGGTTGTCAGTCAAAACTTAATGCACTGTCCAGCTGTGAAATGCAAGACGACCCCCGTGCATTAATATTCCACCAGGATGTACATCATAACTGCATTCCTTCTCTGGCTATGTAAGGGGAACCCAATTTGCATGGGAATCAACAAAATTAGTTCCTCACAGATCGAAATGTCTAAAAATATATATATTTCAAAGGACATTGCTCACACAATGCCCCACACTACATGTCTGTGTAAATCCAATCATTGTGCAGGTTACTGTGGCATGGGGAGATAGGGAAACACTGAGTCTTTTCAAATTCTGTGCATTAAGTTCCCATGTGTTGAAAAAATGGTCGTTCCAACCCCCAAAATACCAAAAGTTGGAAGGTTTTCCCCCCAAATACGAAGAAGCTGTAATTCCAACAATTGCCGGATGGCTGGCATCTGTGCCGGCACATTTAAAGTGGGAAAAAAAGGCCAAGATACGCTAACTCTCCTACAATACCTCTTCCTCCTCATCATCATCATCGTCTTCTTCCTCCATCCCTTCCGTCCCCTGGCTCTTGGACTCGTCAAACTCGCCCATCTCGCCAATCTCTGTATCGTCTGGAGAAAAGTCGGGGCAAACGTAGTCCTCCGGCAGCTCGTCTGCTGCCAGCCCCAGGTTGGTGCCGTAGTTGCTGTGCACCCGCATCCAGTATTCTGAAGGGGGCATTTTCTGGAGAGATGGGACGGGATTGGTATGGGGAAACGATCAGTTACATAGAAAATCCGCCAGTACCTCTGTAGTGTGATTTGGCGACCATAATTAGAAGCCATTACTGCGGTGGCACAACGCTCACGGAGAGTTTGTAAGGTACACACATGTTACATGCCTCTTTGACCAATAGGGTGCTAAATGCTTGCCCCAAGTGGAAGAATGTGCGGTGCCACGGCAGCTATGGTGTCCAGTGGGATTAGTCTATACAAGTGTGATTAGCTTTATAACAGTTAAATTTAACCATTACATCAGTTGTTACCACATTATAAGTTTGAGTGTTGATGAAGACCAAGGCCCCCTCGTTACCTGATCCAGCAGGGCATTCTGCCACACCTTGAAGAGAAGCAGAAAAGTCCGGTCCCTGGATATAAAGGAGGTAAAGAAATGCTGCAGAGAAAGAAAAGGGCAAAATGTAAGACTGACTGCAGTCGTACCGTGCATGTGGACTTGATGTCCAAAATAAAGGTACCGGTATGAAAGAAATGAGAAGGCATAGGAGGGTGGAAGTGGGGTACCGAGAGGGGCAGGCAGAGGGACTAACTTGGCACCCCTCCCCCCAGGGACATGCTGCTAGGTTTTCTTTTAACCCTAACCCCCTGGGGTGTATGTAAAATTGTATTGAAATTGGAGGATTTGGGACTGTTAGGGTTTTAACCACTTCCTGCCGGGGACTCCGGGATCGGAGACGTATGGTTTGGCCTGCTGGCCTGGCTGAAATACTCGGGCGTCAATGAAGGTCACCTGTCAACTTAGAGTGGTGCCTGAAGATTACTTGGTGCGGCTATAAATGACCGTTAAATGGAATGATGAATTTTTGAAGGATTTTGAAAACGGAAAAATTGATAGTTATGCCGGCCCAGCATCATCAACATTGAAAAATACCCCGGCATGAAGTGGTTAAGGAACTGTAAGCATCCACACGATAAAGATGGACTGAGCACCTTTGTGGGATTAACAATCGGTTTAGAAAAAAAAGGGCTCAGTTTATCCTCCTGGGGTCAATTTTACGGCGCTGCTCAGCACACCATTTCAAGCTTACAGAGGCTCCGCGTATTTCATGGAGACCGTAAGCACAGCCCAAGATATGCTAACCTTGGAGGAACATTTGCTTAAACTTTGAGATGCCGTAACAATAGAAATTTCTATGTGCCCGCAACCTTTAGCACAACCACACCAAGCATGCTCAAGAAATTTTTCTGCCAAAGTTGGCACGACTTTTCTGCTGTTAAAGCAGCACCGTGAAATTAGGCCCAGGATTTAAAACCTCTCTAGATCATCATCTGGTTATCAGAAAAGGAAATTAATTTGCCATGCTTAAGGCATTTGTATACCAAGCTGTATTCCTTCTGCAGAGTCTTTCACAATATTGTTAAATATTTTTTAGGACACAGGCATGATAGCGTTGAAAACTATTTTTTGAATGAAGAAAAAATGTCCCCCCATAACTTTCTGTTTCACTTGAAGCAATACCCAGACAAATCCAGTTTTGATGAATCGGGCAACAAATATCCTAATATTGCCCTCAGTGACTGAAACCTTTTGGTGTATAGTTCACTACTGCCCTTGAATAGTTTGATACTGCCCCATAATGTGTACCTTCTCGCTTTCGGTTGCTATCTGCACCGCATTTGGTATCAGTCGCATCGTCCTCTCTTTGGTGATGGCAGTGATGTCCTTCAGTCTAATAGTAAGCTGCAACCAAAACGAAAACAAGAGATTGATTTCACACTCTGGTGAACAACAGTGAGTGGCTTTTTAACAAAGAATGTTGCCTGAGTGTACACATCAAAAGTGTGACATTTGGGTGGCCCCGTTTATTCTAATTATAAAAGTGTTTTATTATAATAATCTTTACAGCCATACAGGTTGTAATACAAATGGTCTTACAGAGATAAATAAGGGATTCAAAGACATAATTGCATCTAAACACAATTTTAAAACAATGCGATTATTGATATTTTGACACGAGACCGGTCTAATTTGACACGGTGATGTCGCTGAAATTTACTTCCTTTTTTTTGGCATTATTTAATCACTCTTGGAACCTACCAGTAAAAGAATGGGTTTATGATTACAAAATCAGACAACCCACAGGACAAAAAATGGACCCCAAATTCTAGGATGACCCACGTCATGTAAAGACTCAAGACTCTTTTAAGAAGGTCTACAGTCTGCTCAATATCTCTGTTAGACAATTATTAGCATGAAACTGACTTGAAACCAGCAACGACAGTCTCAGTATGTAAATAACAATGTACACACTGAAGGCTGGAGGGCTCAACCTGGATTTCAAGGTCAGTATCACACAACCCCCGTAATACAAAGAGTTATAGAACAAACGTCTGAAGGAAGTCTAAGGAACTGACCAGGGTTTCCCACTTGAAGATGTTGGCGTAGAAACAGAGCCAATTCTCGGTGACGTACATCCTCCCTTGCACCAGGATGTCCTTCTGCAAGGCACAGGAGTAATCTGTTGGGGAGAAGAGTTGGAAAATGGCACTGAGAAGTCTGGGTGAAAGATGACACTATTCCATAGGCTACGTGTGCATGAAACTGCACCTGTTTTATTTTACTTATGATGGAAAGTCCAAATAAACCTGCCAGAACACCTAAACCCCTTAAGAGTGCTGGGTGTTCTAATCGGCCAAGATATACATATGTACAACACGTGCTGTGTTGTGTGAGAATCCTGTATTTTGCAAGAAAATCTGCCCTCAAAACTGCTGAGTTTCAGAATTGAAGCAAGTCTCTACTATCAAAAACTGAGGCATAAAAACTAGAAAAAAAATCCCAGCAGTCTCCAACAGACTTGTGTGACTCGTGACTCAGACTCGCGTCATATTTTTAATGACTTGGACTCAGGCTCAACCCAGATGACTCAGGACTTGGACTCAGAATTGAAATGTGACTAGGAATCGAGAGATGTGACTCGGACTTGGACTCAATATTTTGTGACTCATAATACAAGTCTGGTCTCAATTGATAAAACCAAGGTCAAAGGTCCCTTTTGATAGGGCGGGAGAATGGCACCAACCTGCAATAAGTTTTTCACTGTTGTGAATGTTTTTGAAGTACTTGCGGAATTCCTCTGACTTGGACTTGTAGGAAGCTGACAGCACCTGGCAGTAAAGAGCAAAGATAGAAATAAATAATTAAACATTGAAATTTTTGTTTACAGATGAATCGATTGTAATTCATGTGTTGTAACCGGCAATGCTTGTTACATCACATGACCACTGCGCAGTGGAATGGTGACACCTTTGCTGGTGCCTAATCATAATAATGTACCAATATCACTAGTTAAAAGATCTGGCTCATTGGTTCCACGTTTCAACTGTTGAGGGCGCTATGCACTTCCCAACATTTTAACAGCAGTGACTGCACCCCATTTTAACATTTTGCACTGCTTTTCTTTCACACATTAATGACACAAAAACTTCAAGATGACTTTTAGTCATCATGAAATTTTTGACAGGTACCAATATGTTATACCACTATTTGCATTTCATATTGAAATGTTCTGGGAAAAAATGCTTGTGTGTCATGAATACTAGCACGATCTGAAACTTAAATACATACAGAGGTGCTCGTGAGTGATTGATCATGATGAACTTTGAGTACTTTTTTCTGAACCCCCCCAGCTGTGAGATGGTCCAAAATAAACTGTGAGGGTTAAACGACTGCAAAAGACATTTCATCTCAAATCCTTGCAAGAACATCACAGAGCCATCACAAGTCATAAGCTACAGTGTATTCAAAAGAAAGTTCCTTCAAGAAGAAACTGTAAAAAGAACTGAGAACTTCTTTACAGAAAAAGTTCTGTGAAAAAAGCATTCCGACATGTACAAGTACATGGATGTCACTGTTCATCCTCTTATTTATGACTGGTATCATGAACGGGCTTGTAACTTGAACTATGACGGGACTTGAGGCGGACTTGTGACAGACTCCACCTCAACACTGGCCAAGGGTGTGTCCTCAACTCCTGCTACATGTCCATTTTTGTATGTCAACGACTATAAAAACCAAGCATAAGCTTACCGTGTACCATGGGGATTTCTTGCTGCTGTTCCTCTTGACGGGCTTGGGCGACTTGTCCTCCTTGCCCGTAGGGGACAGCTTCTCCGTAGGTGAGCCAACGGAAGAGCCGGACGTCTCAAAGCCCAGGTGCTGCTGTTGCTGCTGCGCTTGGTCCAAGAGCGGAAGCTCGGACGGACAGGATCGGGAAACATGGATGGGGGAGGGTTGATTAGGAGCAGCTGTGGCACTGTGGAAGGCAAGAGAAAGCCTTTGGAGATGAGGCATCATCTTGTCCCTCTCTGTTCTCATCCAAGGGAGACTTATGAGAATACCTTTCACCCACAACCAATGCAAGATTGCCAAGAACATGAAGAAACATGCATCAATGGCACATGAAAATGTATGTTAATTTTCACGAGGGCTGTAGCCCTACAGTGCACGTAATATTGTACCGGTTAAGTATACACGTATTGGGCATAAATTCCACTTCCCTAAAATGCTCCAAAACCTTGTGATGGGGTTGGACAGTGGGCAAGGGTCAGTTTTTGGTTTGTTTTTGGCTGATTTTTGTTCTGCTGTTTCACACACTGGAAGTGGGCACAAACAACATCTACTGTAGCTTAACTCTAACCCTCTAAAGGTGTGTGTGTAAAATCATACCACAGTTGGAAGACTTAGCCCTGTTTGGGTAGAAAGGGGGAAGAAAGTGACCAAAACATGGAGGATTGGACAAAGCTGAATAGATCTACATGTTCATGTACATGTTAATGGGTAGTTCCAGAAATTAGGGGTCCAAAAGTGTGACATTTTCGTGTCCCTGTTACATGTACATCTGACCTTTGTTACCAGGTATTTGACATGGAAATATCACCGAAATTGTTTTCAAACTATTATAATTTGTTTGGCAGATAATTTGCGTTAATTCATCACTTCTGGAAATTAGAGAATGTGTTCTGAACTTACAAAATCGCATGTCAAATGTAACACGGACACAAAAAAAAATGGACCCCTAATTTCTGGAATTACCCATACATGTATGTGTTAATAAAGCGTATCCTAAGCCAATAAACGACCAACATCACCAGTGCCGATAGGTTTGGCCAAGTTTGGCTGGTTCATCAGCACTGCTTATGCTGTTGGCTTCATGGAACTTTACTGGATCGAGGAACAAAGGCCTGGGGTTGTGATGTAGGATTTTACTCAAGTGAGAACATACATGTACAAGGGTGGTTCCCTGCAGCAACTTATCAGTGGTACTGTGCACTGGGCACTGGTTGGACTGTGCCTGGGTTATGGTGTTATCACCCTGGTACTGCATGGACTATCCAAACTCAAAGTCAATCAAACCCTGCTGACCTATTAGCCGGTTGTGGTGTTGTTGTTCGTACAAGGACTGTTGAAGCTTAGCAGGTTCTAATCATTACAGGGGGTTAGGGTTAATTGGGCCATGTAAGACAAAGGTGGGTTAAAGTTTGCATCACACAGATGGGTTGTTTGGGGTTGGCAGGTTGGGTTGGGCTGGATTGGGTTGGGTTGGTTTGGGTTGGGTTATATTGGGTTAGGTTGGGTTGGATTGGGTTGGTTTGGATTGGGTTGGGTTAGGTTGGGTTGGGTTGGGTTAGGTTGGATTACGTTGAGTTGATGGATTAGGTTAGGCTGGGCTACAGTATATGCTGGATTGGGAGCACAGGTACAGGTACCGTAAGAGAAATGGGGGACCACAGAAAAATGTTGAAACCCTTTTTTTCCTGTTCCAAGGAACACTCACTTATTGCCACTGTCTACTTCACTTTCACTGGACAGAGGCTCCCTCGAGGTCAACTCACTGCTTTGACGTTCTTTAGCTTGCCTGGAACTCCTATACAGAGCCACATCCGGTAAAAAAAAACCAAAAACACCACGACGGGAGGCACATAAACACAGCCAGGGAAAGGCACAGAGAGGGGAGGAAGAAAAGCAAGGTCAGTGGTGTTCAATAGAAAACATTCTGTGAAATTTGTGGGGACAACTTCATCACTTGCATATATCGGTACATGTATGCCTGTGAACAGGGCTTACATGTACACTGTACGTACATGTACAGGGTGCATGTACATGTACATGGAATTACTGGCAGGAATAACTTGAGTAGCATGTGCGTCCTCTTACATGCACTTGTACCACCATGCACTGTCCTGTCTTTACAACAGAGCTTGCAACAAACTTAATTATTTTAATGATCAAAGACTACCATAAATGAGGGTGACATGTCAAAGTCAATGGAATTTGGAGGATTCAGTAAGGCATGCAGAACACTTGAACAATTGTTACTGGTAGGGTTTACAAGTTCATTCACTCATGCAAACAATAACAATGAAAGAAATACTGTTAATCAACAACACACCTTCGGAAAATGGACTGTTTGAAACTGGTACTTCGCTTTCTGAAGGAAAAGAAACAAACATTTGAAACAAAGTAAAAATTAAATGTGAACCACATGCACAAAAAGAGCAACAGGTTAAATAAAACTTTCAAGGAAACAAACCATACCGTTACATGACATCCATGAAAACAGAGCTTTTATCATTACTGGCAACCAATGCATACTTTTCATTCAGTAAAGCTGACTTCAGGCTATTGAATCACGACTTGTTGGCACATGATACCGGTATGTACATGTACACTATAATCATGCAGAAATGGTGAGTAATGTATGCATGTATACATGTACACTTGTACATGTAGGGTCAATTCAACTGCAAGCATTACCAGTATACTATATGTACACACATGTACTAAATACCGGTAGGCAAACACATGTTACATGTACATGTACTGTAAGTACATATACATGTACATGTACATTGTAGCCAGCATACCGGTACATATGCATGTACATGTACATGTACCTACATGTACATGTACTGTACATGTACAATGTACATGTACAATGTACATGTACATACTGTATGTACATACATGTGCATGTACTGTACAAGTGAATACGTCACTCGCACAATTACCGGTACCTGTATGTGTGTAAAAGGCATTGGCGCAAGACGTGCGCATACAGTACACCATTGGCTTTTAATTTTCTGGTTCCACACGTATGTTTGTAAATGATGTCACACTTTGGCAAACCACAAGTGTATCTACATGTATAGTTAATTTTCCCCCTGCCTCTTGTCACCAATGAGAACTGGTGGCTACTGGTACAATACGTGTATGAATGAACATGTAACTGGCCGGGGGGAGTAATAGATCAGCGTCCCATGCAGCTGAAACTGGGAACCAGTCTAATGGATTGTAGGGCTTTTTCTAGTGACATACATGCAAATCACTTCACCTTCTTTGTCTTTCTGACACAGCTTTGTTTTATTTCTCAAACTTGCTGAATATTTCCAGATACCAGAAGTTTTTTGGGGGCAAACTGGCAACAAACCGGCATTTACATCGGGCACCCCAGACCCAGCCATGAAATACCAGGTACAGCACACCGGGCCCACCATAGAACATGGCCCAGCCCAGGAGACATGCTAGACCATGTAATTGGTTGGGGTATACCAGACCCTGCTACAAGTATGGCTCACCATACTATACAACACCTGTAATGTACCAGTACATGTAGGGTGCACCAGGCCCACCATAAAACATGGCACACCAGGCCATCCAAGTTAAGCCACACCTGGCCCACCATTATACAACTCTAAACATGGCACCCTAGACTACCGGTACATGTACATGTATGTTAATGTATCAGTTATTACACACGGCATAAATGCTGAATAACATTCGGGCACACCAGAACCTGAAACCTGTAAAAGCCAACAGTCGTGTACCGGTACATGTAAACACCAATTAAGAACTCTGCCATGAAAACACCAAAAGCTGAACTATTAAACCTGCAGGCGCCCGATGTTCCCCCTTTAGAGTTATGGAGGAATGACCCTTAGTGATGGAGCCATTGGAGTGCCAGTCACAAAACATTGTAATTACTGTCATAGTGCCTTCATTGTGTGCTAGAGCAGCTCTGTAAATGGTCAAATAAATGTATTGGCCATTATGATGGCGTCTGTAGACAGTGTCTGCCAAATTCCCGCCTATAACTGCTTCAAATGTGCCACGACAACTGAAGCTCATGCAGGAAACAATTCCCCAAACTGTACCACAGGGAGGAATGGCTCCTGTGGACATTGATTTGATTATACCAAGATTCCCTTCGCACAAGGTACATGTACGTGTACTTTGTACTTACCACAAGGTGGAGATGGGGTGGAGGTGGGTAGTCAAAAGTTTGAAAGTTGTAATCTGCTTGCTCTAGTAAATGCCTCAAACCGTGGTATACTGTTTTAAAACAAGGCTGGATTTTCTCCATTATTGAGAGCGAAGAAATGCCCAGCAGCTCAGTCTTTTGTGCTGAGCACGGTCTTTTGTTATAAGGCCCAACTCTTTTGTCCAGGTCCGGGCTCCCAGTTTATGTACATGTACTCGAAAACGGGTCGCCGGCAGGAAGTGCTTAAGCGTCAAACTGTTGCATCTTATCAATGCAGTAATTTTTAACTAACCAATTAAACACTACATGTAATTATGAATTCTAAGAATAAAGCATTTGATCTCTTAGTGATAAAATGTCACACATCCTAGTACGGGTATATTCAATGCATAAATCCCTAGATAATTGAAGTATGGGTGTACATGTATGTACATGTACATGGTTACCCTACCGTACAATGTACATGTACATGTACTTACCTGTACCGGTACATGCGCTGGTACACTTTACCAACTGTGCATCTTGTAGCATGCTTCCAAGAAAAGGAACCAGACATGCTAAATGCGTAATGCTGCTCTTATCTTTCTTCTTTCCAAGAATCAAACTCGGCCTACTGTTCCTCTCCTGGGCATCATTCATGCAATGCACAGATTTACCAACAACTCAATCAAACCATCTCCTTCGGGGTACATGTACCGGTACATGTATACCCACGTGCACATCTAACACCGGCGAGGCTACCCGACACTTTGTATTTTGCACATCTACTGTGTACTTGTAGATGTTCCCTATGTATGTAGCAAACACACCCGGTATCAGACTATCAGTGGACAACCATGGTAACGGGGGAGGAGTCACCAGCGCTCAACAACGGTAGGGAGTGCGGTGCCATAAAACCAAGAACTCAGTAATGAGTAATGTACATATACGTGTACACGTTGATAATTCAAAGTGCCTTGCTATTGGTTGAATGTGTGATCGTGGTGACACATACATACATTTACACATGGAAAATTTCAACAACTGGCCAAATGTGACAGATTTTCCATGGGTCAACATGGTCGACATGTAGGCACATTAACGTATGGGTGTACGTGCACATGTACTTCCTTGTGTTGATAAAATGCTGGTACAAAACGGCATCAAGTGGGTGGTGACTACCGGTACATCAGTGACTAAACAATAAAATTGAAACTGTTTTCTTCTTCACTTATCACGCACCGGTACGGTACATGTACCGGAACGGTATTAGCGGCCAAACACCAAAGAAGTGGAACATCCAACTTGCATGACAAAACAAGTACCGGTACATGTACATGTACGTAAATGTACATTTTTGTACCCCCAAAATTGGTGACTGATCAAAAGTGCACTGAAGTAAATTACTTTAAGTACACGTACAGGTACGGCACATGTACCGGTTACCGGTTACATGTACTGGTAATACGTACTGTATTCTTGGATTGCATTACTGCCAAGTACCTGTATAGTGACAGCATCCCATTTTAATTTTTTTTATTTCATTTGCAATCCTTCCAAAAGCATGTATATAGAGTAAAACGCCCTAATATGCAAAGTACATGTACCCTACAGATACATGTACATGTACCTGTACCCGGTATGTACCGGTACACGTTACGTGTATTATGTACTGTACATGTGCCTGTGTACCGGCTGGTAACCGGTATCCATCAGGTACAGGTAGTACATGTACATGTACCTCCATGGGTAAATTGATGCATATTGGCAAATTTCCCAATTCTCCCCCCCTCCCCTGTGATCTTCTGGATCCATCCTTTCACACTCTGACCAATGATTCACTGTCATTTGTCAGGCTAAGAACAGCAGCCTAGTTGAGCTCTGAACTGGCCTACAAATCCACACGTATGTATAATTACCGTACATTTGCTCCATGAACATTGTATGTACAGTGTAGTTAAAGATTACATGTAACTGGACCGACCCAGATCCAGACAGAGGTTATGTACAGTGTACCAGTACTGTGTCTGTACTGTAACCATGGTAATCATCAGCCAGTTGACAGAGCAATGCCCTTTTAGTTACATGTATGACAGATCAGCGTGTGCACCTTTGTCATCTATTTGCCTTTGAAAGTGATGCAATGTTTAATCTCCTCATGATAATTTTTCCATGGCTGAGAGATTCAGACAATACCAGTTTTTTCCAACTGTGTACGGTACAAATGTATTCACATGTACATGTACAGAAGGTACATGTTCGAGTCCAATGCAGGTATTAACGTACTGTACACATGCATACACGTATCAGTACCATGTACGTACATGTACACCTGTACCCTTGCATTTACTGTGCACATCTGTGCTGTTTGTGCATGACCAAAGGATGCTGCACAACCACCTGACCACATGCACGTGTACAGGTCGTACCGGTAAGTGCTAGTCATTTTCTGTCCAATGTTTGAACACATGAAAAAAGTGCATTCTATGGGCAGACTCATTCAACTGTGTCTGTTATATTGTGTTCAATAACTCAGGTAATCGGGAAAGAAACAAATATTGGATGCATTTGCGTTTTGAGGGAAAAAGTCATTTTCAGAGAGAGATTACCGTACACTACAGTGTTACACATGTACATGTAGCAACCGTATGCCAGTCGGGGATCTCCACCGTGGCGTTCTACCTTACCGTTCTACTGGCACAAAAATCCTTAAAAATCCCAGAAAAAGCATTAGTCACTGTGAAAATTTCATGTTTTCACAATGTACCTGGAAGTGGGAAAATATTTTCACGATTTTTCCCACAAATGGGAAAAGATTTTCACAGATTTTCCCATAAGTAGGAAAAGGTTTTCACTGATTTTCCCACACGTGAGAAAAGATTTTCACACTTTTTTTTCACAAGTGGGAAAAGATTTTCACAGATTTTCTCTGGTAGTGGGGAAATACTTTTGCAAGCTTTCTTCATTAAGTACTGTAGTATTTGCGTTCGTTCATGTAGACATCAGGAAGTTTTTGTTTTCTGTGGTTTCAAACATGCACATCTCTGAATATGGAAAGCGGAGGAAAAACAGTCTGAGACAAAAGCACTTTAATTCTCTGGAATATCCAGAGGATAACTTGAGGAAGACACCATTAAAATTTCAAGGTACATGTAGTACCTGTATGTTTCTCGGTTTTCAGCTAAATACAAAGCGACAGGTGAAACCAGAGCTGGCCATGGTGGAGGTCAGGAGACTAACACTGAACACCAAACAGCTGAATTACAGTAGACAGGTAGATTCCCCTTACATGTATAGCGCTCTCAAGGGAATCTAACAGAATTGAGTGTTATACATGTACATGTACATTGTAACTGCTCAGCTGAATGACTTGGATGGACGCCCAACATGTGCACTGCACATGTGCACGTGTACAGATGCATGCACATGTACTGCAGATGTATCCACATGTTGTCATGTACAGTGTATGTGAATGACATTTACATGTATTGACTTTTTCCAATAACCATGTGACCACAGAAAGTGACATGTCATCAGAAAACCCAAGTGGAAACAGACCCGTTATGTCACGCGGAACACAATCATTCACTGGTTTATCCAAAGTGTTACAACTGAGTTCGGATGCCCCATTTTCAAGAGAATGGTGTTCAGTCATGCATGACAGGAGGGATACCATCAAGGTATCATTAGAAAGAATACAAGCTTCTACTTTTCAGAGATCCTTATCCCTGACTCCCTAGGGTGTGTGTAAAATCACATTAAAATTGGAGGATTCAGGGCTGTTAGGGTTATACATTATAATTATATCTCAAGGTTTGGGCACATTCACCTCTTTCCTCAGGGTTTGGGTTTTTTTTCTGGGACACCGTGTACATGTACATGTACACGTATGTGTATAAATATCATTCACAATTGTCACCTTTTCCTGTACGATATTCACATCATGTACATGTAAACTTCAAGCACACTTTTAATTATCATGTATACATGCACAATGGACAGGTACATGTACAAGTATATATTATTTTCTAAGTTGATGCTCTTGGGTGAAAGATTGCGTGCTCAATTGTGAGCTAAATTTGGTACAAAGTGTCTATTTGGGAACACATGACACCTGTTATCAGTACAAATATTTAAAGAATCGGAGGATTCTTTGAAAAGTGCAGGTACACATATCAGTACTCGTACTTTAACATGTTCAAAGTTACCGCACTGGTCCTAGTACCGGTACATTGTACTAGCATGTACGTACATTATCTTTGACTGGTACTCTGCAAATTAATACATGTACCGTTATCACATACATGTAACTGGCATGACATCCATGTCCACGCAAGTACATACCGGGTAACACTTGTTAACAGTACCAACACTTCAACACAACACTGGTTAATCTTCTGTCAACAACTGCAGTATCATGTACTGTACCGTACATCTACATGTACATGTACATGTTACATACCATTGTAAACATGGTAAAAGGAAATAATGAAGATTTTAAGATCATTTGTCCCGATGGACACTTCACTGTACATGTAGGTGAAGGGATACCCTCTAACATGTGTCAGAAAGTACATGTAGCAATGTATGCACTCTGACTTAGTGTATGTCGTCGGCCTACATGTACCGTGCAGGTTTTGGGAGATCAAGATTCAGAAAACTGCTTAACTACACTGTATAAGACCGGGGTACTGGAAGGATTAACCATGTACATGTACATATACATGCACATGTACTTTTGTACATACATGTACGGTACTATACAATGCCTGAGCATGTACCGGTACATGTACCAGCAGATCCTGCTCATCGTCACTCCTCACTTTATCATCATTGTGTCGCCTACAAGATGTACTGGTACTGTCCACTTCCAATGCCTTACGGTACTTTTCCCAACGGATTTTGTTTTCCTTTTTTTTAATTTACATGTAAATGCATGCATACCGTACATGAATATGAGTTGAGAGATGTCTTCATCTCTCGGCAATTCATGGGAAAGGTGTTTTCCTGTTTTTGGTCATATTTTGCAATTTTTCACACATTACAGTACTGTGTAATCAACCTGCCACAGGCTACTGGGCACCAAGGATACATACAGGACACTGTATTTCTGAAGGAAGGATAGACCGACCCAACATGCACTGGTGCGAATAGAACTCATGGCAATGGACAATCAATCAATCATGTGACAGAGGATTAATTCAGATGTTGTGCAACAAGCCCTTCCTTAATACTACAGGTAAATACTGGTAATGCATGCAGTTAATAAAAATTCAAATTGACACTGTTGACAGAATGTTTGAATAAGTACAGCATATCTCACTTTTCAAGTTGTTCAATCATAAAGTTTGTTCTGTACAACGTACATGTACTGGTACCAGTACATATACATATTTGCTATTAATTATTCATTCCAGACTTTTGGCATGTTCGTGTTTGGGAAATCGTGGCAAAATGCATCTCAGTTTTGGTTGCTTTTTGAAATTTCTCTCCTGACACAGTGAGCATTCAATATCTGTTTAAATTCAATTGAATTTAATATTCCAATAAATACGTGCAGCACTGCAAAGCGCAGAAACTTACAAGTAGTCGGTGACACCCCAATGGCAACATTTTGCAGGCTGTGGGCTTCAGTCGCATACGGTACCAATGTCTCATGCACATTCGGCAAGACTTACCACAGCACATTACAAAGAAAAAAATTTCTCTACTTTTTAGTGGCTATACATGGTACAACAAATGTACATGGTCTGCAACATTTTTTAAAATCCACTATACATGTACGGTGTATGTATTCCCTAGGTTGCCATATCCCGCACCAACTCAACACGTAGAAGTGGTGCACATTAAGTGTTTTTCTTTCTTGATCATTATTTTACTCTCTCACTCCATTTCACTTGCCATGTCATTCTAAAAGCATACATGTACATGTAGATGAGATTTCAATGGCAACCACCTTTTTTCTTGGGCACACTTACGTATCTTTGTCCCGCAACATCCCCTCACTGGTTTGCTTGACAGGCGGCATGGTGACAGTTGTCATGGCACCGCCCTCCTCTCCTTCCACAACCAAAGCATCCAGGGACTCTTCTTGACTGAAGAAAGGAAGGGGCAATTCCAACATTATTGTTACTGTGTTGTGCTACCGTGTAGTTGGCTTTCTGTTCAACTATTGCAGTTTACTGCAACAAAGGCAAAATCTATCAGTAAAAGCGTGCGTTGCATGTTTGTGTAGTGAAATACAATGTAAAGTGCAACAGTGTCAGAGTCTAACAGAACGTACATTGTACCTGTCTCCCTGTAGTTTGTCCTATTGTACATGTTTACAAGTCAAACACTACTGTATGTATGTATGTACATGTACACACTGCAATACTGTCCAAAGTGCACATGTCCATGTACCGGTACTTAACGTTACATGTACATGTACATCACGTACCCAACATGCACATGTGCATGTAGATTGTGCATCAAAGGTTGCGCCACTCTGCACAAACATGACAAACTTAATTCATCACATTACTTGTACATGTACCGGTACTTATACATGATATATGTACCTGTAGGCCCATCCGCCCCAAGCTGAAGTGCACCCCTTCCCCAATCAATCGGCGCAAGAAAAAAGACGGGTGGTTACAAACGGGTTCTTGCATGTACACACGTTCTGTGTCAAAGACCATACCAGCCTGAATAAACAGGTATCATGAGGTAATAATAAAAACTGACTTACGGATAAAAAAAAGGGGGGGAACAAATCCAAATTACTTGTAAATAAATAAATAATTGTATAAACATAAACTTGAATAAATACATACATTTAAGTTAATTCAGTGTAAAACTGCACAGGTACATGTACATACATGCACATGTACCGTAGCAGTGTGCACGGTTGGGCGGGGGGAGAGAAAGAATGGATAGGAGGAAAGCTGATTGGTTTATACGCAATATAATGTTACCCGGTACGTACATGTACATGTAACTGACTGCCACGTTGCATTCACTGGTGTACAGCACTTGTGATTCTGAGTCACATGACAAGTAGAAGTACAGTGTATACCGGTATGTACATGTACATGTACCCGTAAGCTTCATCAGTTTTTTTTTTTCCCAAAACGATTTTGTGAGCAATGGAATGAGGCGCAAGGGAAGGATCGGGTGAGAGCTGATGTGCCATTGTTGCAGTACATGTACTGTACATGTACGTGTACAGTTGTAGGTACAGTACCTGTACATGTACATGTACATGACATTGTAGTAATTTGTGCACATGTACACTGTACCAGTGCAGACCAGAAATGCCCTACACAACGTACACATGTACACGTACAGCTGTACAGTGTACATGTATAGAGTGCACCTTGAACATGAAGAGTACTTACAGTTTTGGTTGTTAAAAAAAATAGAACCCATGCAGTTTTTATTTTGAACACTGATACTAGTTCAGATTTTAGTTCACAAACTTGTGCGTAGATGTATGGGTCATTGTTTGACCCCTTTGAAGATGCAAGATTGCAGAGTGACCACAGAATGGTTCCAGAAAAGCCATACAAAGTGAAAGTGATTTTGAGGTGAAGAATATTAATGAGAGGAAGAAAAGATCTGAAAAAAGGAGGTCTTTCCTGCGGATTGTGGAAAAGCCAATGATATACGCTTGCATATATACATGTATACCGTACATACAGTGTATGTATAAAGAGGAACTCCCATGATACACTGTAAAGTCGTCTTATGATACTGTATGACCATATACATGTATGGTGTACCCGTCCAAATGATGTACGATACCGTCCATGTAGTGCATGTGCATGTAGGAGCTATACATGTACCAGTATCTTTTTTTTGGTGCAAATTATACTTTTCACCATTTGGGTTTAAGACAAACCTGATTTTTGCTATACAACCCGTAAGTCTGTACATGTACCGGATAATGTATACATGCACATTATGTGGATTTACAGTCTTAAATGGCAGTACATGTACAAAGTACCGGTACATTTTAGAGTGTACATGTACTGTATGTACATGTATGCACTTGTAAGCCTTGGTAACGAAGAAAAAGCAATCACATGTACATGTATATGTAGTATACAGTGCATGTACATGTACGTGTACACATGTACATGTACATGTACCAGTTCATGAACATGTACATGTATGGTAAAATGAAAGTACACTGTACATGTGCAGCGAGTGTGAAGGATACAGATAAAGCAATCATTTCCAAGGCCATGAAGGAAACGTGATGTGTAAATTCTTGTTTCTTGCCATTGTGCATGTCCATGTACCGTGACGGTACATGTACCGGTACATGTTAACAGGTGGAAGGTACATACATGTAAATGAAGTACAACATTGTGTACAACATGTTCTTCTGGCATTCTGGCAAAGGGAGATCATTACAAAATGATGACTTTGATGACTGGACTTATAGGTACATGTACATTCTTCTTGTATTGTACCAACCATTTAAAATCTACAGACTCTAGTGCAATGTGAAAAAAAATTCCAAAAATGACTTCATGCAAAATTACACATGTGCACGTTGGGTAATTGATGCTTCTACATGTAATCCATAAAGCCCCACCCTGTGATAATTTGACCAGCCATGCAATGGAGTCTGAACAGATTTGACCAGCATGCACGCAATGGAGTCTGAATGGACAATGATTACATAACATCCCTTGTACATGTACTGTTACAGTGCATGTACAGGTACAGGTACATGTATATAAAGTATCATCCACATGTCTTTACCTGTAATGCATGCAATGCCAACTTGCATGTTGTTACAAGTACATATGTGTACATGTACATGTACATGTATGTACCGTACAGTGTATGCGCAGGTGGCCTTAGATCATCATTGATACTTGTGATGACATCAACTTTCTGAAGTCACATGCCATGCCTGTAATGTTGATTTCTTTGTGATAACGGTACAGATACGGTACATACATGTACATGTACATGTATATGGGTACATGTACATGGACATGTACTTGTACATATCGTACATGGACATGTACTGTACATGTATGCTGATCAATCCTCCTCCTTTGTCAAAATGCTTTAGATTCCAAAACCATGGCATCTATACACCAAACAAAAGAATCAAGACTTGGATTTCAACTTGGCCTCCATGTATGTTAATGCACTGTACCAGTACACATGTACATGTATGGTACATGTACATGTACCCTAATTTTGCATTTAATTAAACAACATAATACACATATACCTGTACATTGAAATGCTTTACAACTTACTCATTCAGCTCATCACTACTTGCCTCAAATACAAATGTTAAATCCAGTTCATAACTTACAGTACCTGTGCTTGGTGCCAAAGCGAACCTGACCCCTAACTTGTGACCTCTGATCAAATTTCCTGTGCTTCCAGTTTTCAGAAAGTGACACCAGAAACACTTTCACTTTTGCTAGAAGAACAGGGCACATCCATTTGCTTCGAATGTCCAGCTACATGTATTGTGGAACGTACCGTGCATGTACTGGAAGCTGCCAAATGTTTGCACATTCAGCAACATGCATGGTGCCATGCAAACATGTACATGTACCTCCTACAGGTACATGTGCATGGCATGTGTATGTACATGTACAGTACTACACTTTCTGGTATAGCGTTTGCTGTAACTACAGCAGTGCAGTTACAACATGGTTACAACAAACAGTAAACTTACACATACAATGTACATGGGTTTGTAGCTCAATTGGACCTGCATGTACCGTACATGTACATGATGTAAGAGTGAACCGGTACGTACATGTACACGTATATTGTATGTACATGTAGTACTGTACATGTACACAATGTACTGGTATTGTACAGTGACTGCATGTACATGTACCCATGCATTGCCAACTCATCATCACACACACATGTACATGTGTGTGTACACGTACATGTACCGGTAGGCCTCTCTGGGTGGGCACTCAACTTGTTAAGGGGACTTGAAGTTCTTTTGTTAGGCAAATTTGGACCGAGTTGTGGGGACAATTTCTTTGTCCCATACATGCCATAACGTTTTCAGTCCCCAGAAAATACATGTACATGTAAGTGAACAATCAAGTGTACACGTACATGTCCCCCAACTACCGCTACGGTGCAGAAATTACTGTCCACGTACATGTCCCCCAACTACCGGTACGGTGTAGAAATTACTGTCCACGTACATGTACATGTCCCCCAACTACCGGTACGGTGCAGAAATTACTGTCCACGTACATGTATGCACGTACATTATACGGGTACTGTACATGTACACATGTATGTACATGTGTATGATGCAGACATGTACATGTGCACATGTCCGCACACATACACATGTACACGTGCCCATAATTTATCAGCGCTCATGGTCAGTGTACCCTGGTAATTAAATCCATGTGGTTGTGTAATGTTCCATTGTATGCAACCAGTAAACCAATATTTGCCTGAACGATTAGGGATGGATGTACTGCCTGCTTTCACCGAGAATTAATTACAGTGTACAGTTGTGAAAAAATTGAAATCAATTTTACAGAAAGAAATGGTGAGCTCCTGAACATTTCTCAGAAAATGTTAGCTTTTCAGTCAAAGCAAAGAATGGCTGCAGTCATAAAAGCCGACACAATGCCTGCTTGAGAAAAGACTAGCATGCAATTCATTTCAGTAAGGTGATTGCTTTTTCTTCGTTATCAAGGCTTACAAGTGCATACATGTACATACATGTACATACATGTACATACATGTGCATACATGTACATACATGTGCATACATGTGCATACATGTGCATACATGTACATACATGTGCATACATGTGCATGCATGTGCATACATGTGCAACATGTGCATACATGTGCATGCATGTACATACATGTGCATACATGTGCATACATGTGCATGCATGTGCATACATACATGTGCATGCATGTGCATACATGTGCATGCATGTGCATACATGTACATACATGTACATACATGTGCATGCATGTACATACATGTGCATGCATGTACATACATGTACATACATGTGCATACATGTGCATACATGTGCATACATGTACATACATGTGCATGCATGTGCATACATGTGCATGCATGTGCATACATGTACATACATGTACATACATGTACACTCTAAAAGGTACTTTGTCCACTGTTTCTCTCATGCCAAGGAAAGACTGTCTACATTTAACTGTCCCAGAACAGTCAGTGATGTCATGACGATGTCATCATAGGTCATATGACACACTTACAAAGTCATCTCAAGAACTACACGTCAGACAGATATGAAACTTGGCATGTTCAGTACTGGGCCAAAACCAAGATTTGTTACATGTACCAGGTACAGTGTGTGTGAAAAATGGGACGATGTCATGATACTGTTACGCCCCAACTATCGCATCAGTCCCAACCATGCACATGCAGTTGGGCCCGTCCCAACTAGAGTGCTACAGTTGGGCCAGCCCAACTACAGCAGAGAGGTCCTGTGTGCATGATGTGCCCAGCATGTGACAAAGTCATATTGTTTACAAATGTCATGTCATTGGTCATAGGGCTAAGTGCCACATTTTTTATGAATTGTGTCCAGTGTGAGACACATTGACTTGGATAATGTTGAAACATCTCCCACGGACACTGGTCAACAATAGTTGGGCCAGCCTAACTGCAGCACTACAGTTGGGACTGTCCCAGCTATATAGTTGGGACTTATGCTATAGTTGGGGCATAACAATAACATTATCGTAAACGTGGATTTGTGATTTTTAAAAATGTTACCTTCATTTTTCTTTTTACACTCTTTTTGATGTACGTGTATTTCATGAACAGAAACAATCGGTACATGTTCATTGTGTTTTCAAAAAACTTTCTGCAAGAACTTCCGTGATTACACTGTTGATGACAACATGCTTAGTGTTGGGAATTTTTAGTGATGTCACGATGTCATTACAAATAATAAATTTTATTGCAAATACTACGCAAGTTCCAACTATTAAAAAACATAAAAATTGATAGTCTATTACTGAAGTGCTGTCATGAGGACGTAAAGTGATTTACTATTAAATTTAGAATATTAGCCTACTATTTTTTGTGTTGGTCCATTTTGACTTTGACATAAATACAGCTGACTTGAAACAACATACACCGTATGGTCATTTGCATCCCACAACTCATGACATCACGATGACTCTGTATGGTCATTTGCATCCCACAACTCATGACATCACGATGACACTATCAACATGATCAAGTGAAAACAATTCAATAAATCATGCTATACATGTAAAACCTGAAAATCAACAAAATTTCTGAAATTCGGCAAAAATAAATTGTTGCCTCCTGACTCCACTTTTCTCATCATATATCATCTCAATAAAAGTCAGTCATTACAGAAATGCTGGAAAGACACAACTTCTGGACTGAGAAACATTTACCAATGTTGTTGGGAAGTTACAAATTCTCTTCACTCCCCATAGACTTTGTACACAAATGCTGAAGTGGAGTCAGTACATGTATGTACATGTACATGTAGCCTGTCATGCCTAGCCTACAGGTGCTTTCTCTAACTTTACAAGTATTTAAGTTTGTCATTTGTAAATTATACCGCAACTTAATTCAGCCTTTTAGGCCTACCTCTCGCTTTCTTTCGAATCTTGCCCAACAATCACTACAACTGGACCCGAACTTGCACAATTTCTGTTCCCTGACCCCGTTGTGCCGCTCGTAGATTGTTGTTCCGACCGACCACCGGTTGAAACCGAACCGGATGTAGGGCTGTCTCCTTCGCCTTTATTGCCTGTGGCAGGGGACAAAGCCTCTCTCTGGCCCGCTGCTTGTGTTTCCGTTGTACATGTAGACGAGGATTGCGAAGCTCGTGGGGGTGGTGGATTGGTTGTTGATGTCGAGGGTCCCGGTATTTCACCTGAGGTCAAAGCCAAGACAGCGTCCTCGCCATGTTCAACCCCATTCGGTGAATGTGTAGTCAAAGTCCCCGACAAATTGGAGGCGCTGTCCGGGCTCAGGTCGGACTGATTAGCCGGAGAATCGAGGGTTGTCGCCGGCTGCGAGCTGCGCCGATCTCTGCTATTCCCGGACGTCGGGCTTAGAAAATCCAGAAACGTACCTGCGTTTAAAAGAGATCTGTGCTGCTTCTGGGCCATCTCCCCCACAGCTTGCTGTTGTTAAGGGGCAGGATTATGCTTCAGCAGTGCAAAGTCCACATGATAAAACACATTATTATTATTCATTACTGTGATAAAGACAAACATCCAATGCTGATTCAGAGACGATTCGTCAATTTTACCGCTATGACATGAATGATGTTCAGGTGTAGAACTCGGTTACCAAATTCACTGGTTCACTGCCGTACCATAGTGCACGTTTATACGTATAATGCTGAGCTTCGCAGAGTACCTACGGTGTAAAACGATTTCGGCTATGGCTGACGGGAAATCAATGTTGCCGCTCTACATGTACATGTACGTCCCTGGCGGTTCTATAGGCATTATGTATGTACAGTGTACATGCATGTACATGTACATGCATGTATTCTCACCAGCCGTAGCCAAGTTCTCTCGCGAAAATTTGACCAAGAAAAATAAAGAGACTGATAATAGTCTGGTTTCCACGTCGTCTGCACTGTTTCAACCTTGATTGCAGAACAGTCCAGGTGCTTTTTTGAACACGAGTGTTAAAGTTAACCTGGGATAGACTTCTTTCCTCAACGCTTCTTTTGCATAAGCGCTTATGCAACGAGTTGCGGTAGTCAACAGACCAATCCGCATTCTTTCTGACAACGGTCTGATGGCGGATGATTCCGACGAAGAGAATCGAGGTGTAAGACAATTTTTACACAATTATTTGACGTTTTTAACGCTTGATTTTTGCCTCGGGTGAAACTAAGTAATAAAGCGTTTTCTCGGTGAAAATTCAAAAGTTTTTGGTGTTCACAGAGGCTTCGACTTTTGGAAGTGATTAGCAATTTCTAGCGTGCAGCAGGCGTGTCTGGTTGCTAGGATTTTGTACACAACTTGTCTTTAGCCTTTTTAGGCATGGCCGTAGGCCTTTTCGGCAGGAACAAAGCTTTTTAAACGTTAGGGGCCCAGGCCTATACTAAATTTTGGTTGTGAGTTGCAGGATTTTACTGTGTCACCTGAACAGAAAGTAAGTAAAACTGGTTGGTCATACATGGTACATGTACACGATGTAGGCCCTGGTTTCACTGTCTGACTGTCATGACTGTGACAAGTACCTGTATTAACTTACTGGTACATGTAGGCCATAGTATAACTTTCAATTGAGCTATGTTGGACGAGCTGAAGTGCACCCTCAATCGTCAAACGCGCCTATACTTGCACGCCTCATGGTGCACCTATTCGGTGACTACCAAAAAAACAAGCCCTCCATTTGTTCCACTCGGAGCAGATAATGGGGTTCTGGTTCCATACTACGCAAACACCTCCTCAGTGGTTATCACGCGCAGGTCGGAGTGAGGGACACAGTGGCTAATTTTTGAAGTGAGCTTTTTGTACAAGGTTGAGAAGGTCCAGATGTCATGGATGTTCAATCCTAGCTTTGAATGTCTTAACATCAGGAGCATATACATGTACTATGCTACGGTAGGTTCCATTCCCTTATTGTCCTTGGATAGAGAAAGTATTGGTAACAAAGTTTGTTGACGTTTTGGGGATTAATGATGTGGGGGCCAGTGTTGTGCCTTGTTGTGTATGTATTGGTTCCACCAGGTGCTGGCAGATTTGATGGCGTATTATTGTGGATTTCCTTGTAAATTGCAGTGAGTCCAAGTCAAATTCTGCAGAGCTCTAGAGTGTCCCATTTTAGGGAAGACATCATGTTATTTACACTTGAAATCCATTTGTAGTCATCGCAAGCAAAGCGAGCTGCCCTAAGTTGTACATGTACTTTCTCCAGGGTGATCTTATTGATATTGTGGAAAGGATCCCATATAGCCCCACAATATTCCAATTTCAGTCTGGCAAGGGCCTTGTAGGCATTTTCTTTGACCGATTTAAAACAAGCATGGAGATTTCTTGTAAGGAGACCAAGTGTCCTGGTTGCTTTGCTAGACACGTGCTTAATATGCCTTGCCCACTTAAATTTTTGCTTGAAACATGTAGTTCAACTCCCAGATATGGATGATGATTGACTGCAAGCAGAGCATGATCACCCATATTGTATGCTGAGAAGAGCGGTCTTGTGTGAAATGTGCATAGTATGACACTTGGTTGTATTGAAGGACATCTGCCACGTATTGGCCCAATCACAGAAAGCGTCCAGATCCTTTTGAAGAGATGACCTACAGTGTATCTTCCGGTGTTTTATCTCCCTATAAATTATAGCGTAGTGCAAAAAGGCGGACTCTAGACAAAACTACATGTACATGTACGATTGGCGTGTCATTAATGTACAACATGAAAAGCAAGGGACCCATCACAATCCATTGGGGTACATCTGAAGACACTGAAGTTTTATCTGACGTCTCGCCCTCCAGCAAAACTTGTTGATTTCTTCTAGGGAGGAAGATCTAAACCCACTTCAGGAGACTGCTGTGTATTCCAGTATGTCTGAGTTTGAACAAGAGTCGCTTGTGAGGGACTTTTTCAAAGGCTTTACTGAAGTCTAACATGATCAAGTCAGTCTGGCTTTTGTTGTCAAGTGACTTGGCAAGATCATCGATAAGTCCAGCCAGTTATGTATCACATGATCGACCTTGTCTGAAACCATGTGGGTGATTTGTACACGTAAGTACATGTACAGTACATGTACTCGGTGAGAGTCGATATGGTCCATGATGTGCCAGTGGATTACATGTACATGTACAGTATATGCTTAAGACTCTTGCATGGAATGGAAGTCAGCGAGATTGGGCGATAGTTTGCTGGATTTGCTCTGTCGCTTTTTTGAATATGGGAACTACATGTGCCGGTATGGTGGCGTTCAACCAGTCTTCCGGAAGTTCCCCGCTGTTAATAGACTTCTGGAAAATCTTTCGAAAGACTGGAGCCAAGCTTGCTGAACAGCTCTTTAAAATCCTTGCTGGTACTTGTACATGTACAGTATCTGGTCAGGTCCCGAAGCTTTCTTTGGTTTTATTTTTTCCAGTAGTTTTCTGACCGCATTTGTAGTTATCGTTGAGAGCTGCAATTGCAGTGTAAAACAATTGTTGTATAAGGCCCAGGGAGCAAAGAAAGTCGTTCACTGTTTAACATGTTTAAAAAGACACGGCCTGATGGAAATCCATTCAATAAATCCGTCCAGAATCTGTTTACACAGCAAGTTGTATCAAAGTCCCATAAAAATAAATATTTAGTTTGAGTCAAAAATACACTGTTCATTGCAAGCTGACTAGGCCTTAATTCATGAAGTGCATAAAAAATGGATGAATAAGAACCCTCTCTGAGTTTCTGTTGAAAAATCCTGGTCGTGATAATCATGTACACAATGTACATGTACATGTCATGCATGTACAATGTAGGCTGAAAGGGAAGAAAAGACAAAATAACTCAAATAAATAGGTCCAGGTTTTATCAGTATCACGCTTGTCAGTAGATGGCATGAGATCTGTAAGTTAAGGTGACAATTAAAATGGATAAATATCGATTAAACCGATATATCGACATCGGCCAAGATACAGTATCGGCAGTGCCTACAGCACTGTCAAGGACACCCTAAAATATACAGGTACGCCAAAACCATACTTGAACCAAGTAACTGTGAGGCCTAGTGGTGTAACCATGAGCAGCGATGTGCTGACCTCTAATCTCGACAGTGCACCCTTTTCTGATTTCTTTTTCTCAAAAAAGATTACAAAAATACCTGTACTGCAGTAGTGACCTTGTATTGGTTCACATGAAGGCCTGATTCAGATCCTACATGTACACACATGGTACACCTACATGTAATCGTCGAATGTTTCACAGCTTGTCAGGAAATTGCACACGTATACATGTATGTACATGTCAGTCATGTTAGTCTCAAGTCACTACAGCATTTGAGTACCCCACAAACATTGTACGGAACCAGCCTGTCTGTTAGAAAGTAAAGGATGATATTTATCAAATTTTCTGGCAGTCAAGTCATTAGAGCCATTGTTCTGTATACAGTACATCTATGAGCTTGCTCGAGCCTGCATACAATTTGTACCGAAAAAACATTGTTTCTTGTCTTATTTTGCCTCCAGACAAAACTTGTGAGCAACCAACCCTACGATGAATCCTTAGAGATCCCAGACGCTGAGGAAGTTGCATCTCAGTACACACCCAGCCCCAGACAGCCTGGTACTCTCCCAGGTACTGTATAGCTCAGTCTTTTCTGTGTCCAGATTCCTTCCCTGTAAATCACTTCTGTTCAGTCCACATAGTCCAGGGATCATTCCAGGGAGATAAGTGTTTATTCCCTACCCTAAACAACCTTGTAAACTCGGGTACAATATCACTCTCTTTCTCTCACTCTCAGTGTATCTGGGCATGGATTTGCCTCAGTTTGCCCCAGGCAACTTGGTACTCTGTCAGGTGCATTATCACCCATCTTGCCAGAGGGTTTTGCCACTAAACTTGACTGACTTTTCTCATCTCCAGCCCGTGGGAGTGGTCCGCACACCAGTGGCGTCCGGGGCATATCCTCACCAGGCTCAATGGATGACAACACAGATGACGATTTTGAACAGGGTCCCATGGAAACTAAGGTAAAAATGGACTTGTATTAACCGATCTACATCCAGACTACATGTATGTCCATCACCTAGGCCTGTCCATTGGGAAGCTGTCAGAGTCAGGCAGTGTTTCATTACCATGAGCTGCACATTCTTTGTGACTTTATTTGAAATTGTGACACTCGAGCCCGGACAAAATTTATTCTAGCTTGGGTGAACAGTCCAAACCCCTCGAGAATTCAGCTAAACCAAACTTGAAATGGTTGTCACAGTGCACTCCAACTCAATCAACGCGTTAATCAAACCAGTTGCATTTAAATTTGGAAAAACAAAACTTCTTCTGCTCCAGTCTTCTCTGGGATTCAGACGCAAGGAATCAAGAAGCCATGGCCTTTCTTGGTTACTCATGCTCACTGAAAGTGCACAAAAATCACCCACACTGGATTTCCAGTCCCACTCCTGTGTCAGTGTACAGTATTTACTTACTTTAATATACAATGCTCTCACTACCTGCGTGTAGAATCAGCTATCTGCAGTGTCAAGCATTGATTGCCTCCCTGAGTGTGCATGGCACAATGCACTCAGCAAATGCCCAAGGGGATTTGTGTATACCCCACCCCCCGCCATAGTAACAGAGAAATGCATGGCCGACTCTGATTACTAACAGCACCTACCGGTATGATGTACATGTACCTGCATGTGCAGGGCATCCCGGTTCCAGCCTCATGTGTTTATGCCTGTTCATAGCAGTGTTCACATATAATGTACTGTACATGTACAGTGTCCTCATCAGTCAATGAAGGGCCACACAATAATCTCATTAGTTTGCATGTAAAACAACATACGGACATTTCACAACAATCTTCCCGATCCGCCATCTTCTCCTGAACATCATTTCCAACTACTAGGCCTTCCCTGCAAACAGTCCCATCTCCCTCACTACTCCCCATTGCCATAACCATCCCCAAAGCTAATCATCCCCCTCACCAACTATCCTCATACTCTAACCATCCCTCACTAAATCATACCCTCCTTCCCAGAGCTGTCCACCCTTGAAAAAAAAAATCCCAGCACAGTTTCTTTGTTCTCTCTCCTTTTCCTCTACACTTAAGGATATGGATGAACCTGCAAAGGTAATAAGTGTACACTGTACATTGCACCTGCACCAACCTGCTCAGACTTGGTACATGTACATGTAGCTGAAAGTTTGGGACAGTTAGGATTTCTGCAATTTTCAATCTCTGAGCCCTCTGTTACATACATGTCCTGTATATCTTGGGGTTTGACATGTTTCAATACTCGCGTTTCACAGTAGTGCACCTCCAAGAGTTTGCAACGCGTTGGCCAATCGCAATGCACGAAATTTTTCGTCCCAATGCGCGTTTGGAAAGGGTCGACAAATTTCGCGCATTGTGATTGGCCAACGCGTTGCAAACCTTTGGAGGCGCACTATTGTGAGTCGCCCGTATTGACCAGTCAATAATTGTATAATTTGTCAAACATTGGGTGTGTCTCTGTCTTCTGGTTTGGGGCCTGATCTATGGGTACATGTAAATGTAGGTACCCGATTTTGAAGAGTACATCAAGGCACAATTACAGGTAGTAGTTTAATACGTAAGCCATCCTTGTGTCCTTATAGAGGCACAGGTATACAGGTATTGCTAAGGCCGGTATAGAGGCTTTACGCAGTAGCCATCTTACAGGGCAGTTCTTTTCTTCCTTTGTGCATGCCCTGTGGAACGAAAGCACTGGCCTTCAAGATAATAGCCATGCCAACCATCTATAGCAGTATACATGTGTATTGTGCTGTTGTAACCAAGGTTGTTCTGTGTAAAACCAAAGATGAGTTAGGGCCTGGAGTACATGTATGGTCCTTGGGCCCAAGGCGAAGCCAGAGACAAAAAGCTCAGTGGCCGTTGTTGCGTTAGCAAACATGAGATCTTGGGACAGACTCACACTCAAGTGAGATTTTCCTTTTTTGGCACAAGTGCCAACAATGCCACCTGTCCTACAAATTCATGTTCACAAGATTTAGAAACTGACAGTTGAGGAATACCAGATACCTTTCTTTTACATTGCACTGCACACGTACCCATCCATGTGAGAACTGTTAAGATACTGAACCAAGTTTAGTAGAGATCACATGTTAGGTACCGGTATCCTTTTGTCATTGCTTGACTGTATGCAACATTTTTGTTTAGTGCGCGTGGTACCAGACAGTGTTGTACATGTACTTGGTAATTCTCCTCCTTGTTCATGTTGCTGCATGTTTGTTGTAAAATCATTTCCTGTTTCCAATTTTCCCAATGGCTGTCTCGTAAGGATCTGGATGAATCTTATCAAATAGCTCAAATGATAAGCCCCGCCCAGGTACACATGTACATTAGCATAACATAAATATTCACGGTTTGAGTGATGAGTGGCAATCTGTGTGTTTCAACTGATCTTGTGTGTGGCTGGCACCTTTCAAATGTTACCAGAAACCCTACAATTTCCAGAGCATTCTAGACCTGTATGTTCTAATTGCCCAAGGATTTCCACAAAGTTCCATGCAGTGTAAATATCTTTCTGCAGTTGTACCGGCACCAGCAGTTGCTATCTCTTTGGTATTTTCTCCACTTCAGAGGCACAGCACCCTTATGTACTCTGTAGCTTTTGCATATACATGTACATGTAGTTATGTAACTAGCAGAGCTGAGAAGTAGGGTACTTTTGGAAGTGATAATACATATGTACAAATGTACATGTACCGTAAGTATGCAAGTGGTACCAGACAGCAGACAATCAAGTTTGGGCTCCTAGACTTCTGCACCTGTGTAATTGCTAATTGCTCACTGGTTGTTTTTCACTGTGAGTTCTTGTTTGGCGATGGATGCATTCTTTCCACAGTGTGAAGGAGTGGTCACATTTTGAGGGTATACTCGGCCAGAGGTTGGTCTCGTATATGGCTCCTGTGTTCTAACCATTTGGCTTGCAAGTGCCATTGGCAAAATTTGAACTGCTGCACTTACTTGGATCCCAAGCAGTGATTTGAATGTAGTCCTTTTCCTCTAAGTTACCAATGCAAATGTAGGACTTTCCAATCTCACCCCATTCAAACAAGTGTTTTTATGTTTCGTTTTGTTTTCCTTTTTGTTTTGAATGAAATACCCCCCATGATAACTCACATTTTGTGAGTGACTGCTAACACATGTAGGTACACGAGCCCTGTATGTATTTCTGTGCCTGCGATTATGCTTAAGTGCAGAATTACATGAACCAAGCATTGAGAACCAGTCATGCACCTGCTGCTTATGCAGGGTATGGTTCATTTCCAAATAAATGATACATGTAGTCAATGAGATGATATATGAGACCAGCCATCCTGCATTGTGTGTAGCTACTGGTAGTCCTGCTATGGGTGACTTGCACTGATTCTAGTCTCACCCTTGCTGTTATAATTGAGCCAAACAGTAGCCTCTAGTTATTAATAGACCAGGGGTGAGATTTCTCAGCTTTTTAGCTGATTTCAGTTTTTTTTGTTTTGGATTTCAGCTTTTTTTCCTCACTGACTGTGTACAAAAGTGTAGGAGATTTTCACAGTTCAGTTTAAATTTGTGCCTTTTTTCGGCTGTTTTCAGCTAGTTTTATCATTGATCAATCTCGTCCCTGATTAACCTGCATACTGACGAAGTCGCGCCTCGTTTACATGCAAGCTTTCCTGTGGTACTTCACATCTGTTGTCCCACCTGGCTCCCATAGGAAAGCACGGATGTAAACAAAGTGTGATATTGATCAGGAATACATTTGCCTATTGAGAGAGCAACGGAAGCTACAACTGAAGAATAATGGGGCTTTTTCTTTGGCTCGTTAGCCCATTGCCCAGGCTCCCCATCAGCGGCAGGCTCCTGTAAGGCAGCAGGTGCCATCTGATGATGACGAGGACGATGAAGATGATGATGACGATGAAGACGGGAGCGATTCATCAGAGGAGGACGACGAAGAAGAAGAAGGGCGGAATATGGCTCTGGAGGGGTAAGGTGGTGATGGTGAAAGTGATGTCGGTCACAGTGTTTATAGCGGTGAATGCCATTGTGGTGATGGTATGGTCAGTATGATAAGGGTTGGCAACGGTTTTTGTACGGGGTGGCAATGGTGATGATCATGGTGGTGGTGAAAGTGATGTCGGTCACAGTGTTTATAGCGGTGAATGTCATTGTGGTGATGGTTGTTATAGTATGGTCAGTATGATAAGGGTTGGCAACGGTTATTGTACGGGGTGGCAATGGTGATGATCATGGTGATGGTGGGGCAGAATGTGGTTGTTCCGGTAGTCATTGAGGTTATGGTGCAGGTGGTGACAATAGTAGTGGCAAAGATAGGGATAATGATGGATGATGTGCATGTAGGCAATTGTGGTGGCGGCCAGGTGACAGTGTTGGTTATGGTGGTGCTGATGACAGATTTGTTGGTGGTGATGCTTTTGATGCAATTGATGATTAGAGTAATGGAATTCTTGTTTGTGATCGTAAGCTGGTGTTGAAAATGGTGATAATGATAATATACATGTATGGTGATGGTGATAATATATGGTGGTAATATATAGTGATGGTGATAATATATAGTGATGGTGATAATATATGGTGATGATGATAATATATAGTGATGGTGATAATATATGGTGATGGTGATAATATATGGTGATGGTGATAATATAATGGGGGTCCTGATTTTCAAGTAGGATGCTGGTGATGGTATGATTGGGATGACGTTGGTGATAAGGGTGTGGTGGTGGACGTTATGCTACATGCATTATGCAAGACAGTGTTGAATGTGTTTGTGGAGGTGATGAATGTGTTTGTGGTGATAAATAGGATTCATATTGATATTGACTACGACAATGATTGTCTCGATTCAAAAACGTGGTGTTGATTGTATAACTGCTCTTGATGACAAAGTAATTTCTGACAGAATTTTGAAAAAAATTCGTCCTTGCAGAGCATATGATCCAGCTGAGTATGAGAACCTGCCCGTCAGCTCTGACATCAAGGAACTGTTCCAGTATATCACTCGCTACACGCCTCAGACCATAGAGCTGGAGCACAAACTGAAGCCGTTTATTCCTGACTACATTCCAGCCGTGGGAGACATCGATGCCTTCATTAAGGTACATATGTGGCACATAACCTCATCTCTGGGTCAGGGAGCCAGTGTGGTATTTCAAAAAGCCAAGGACTTCCGGGAACAAAGCGCACGCATGAGTCAGCAAACTCAGCATATGGCTATAGTTATACTGAGAGGACAGACACGTGCGTAGCTGTTGCTGAATAGCCTCGTACTGAGCATGCGCTGTTAGAATATAGTCTTTTTTGCCTGATCCCCCAGCCTAACCATCAGGGAGACCCCCCTTGGCCCTGCGATCTTTGACAAGCCTTGCACCAAGCAGTGGGACCCCGTGACCATCTAACACCATACACTGCAGTCCTTTTTAAATCTGTCTAATCCTCCAGATCCCCCGGCCTGACAGCCAGCCAGACACCCTCGGCCTGACGGTTCTAGACGAGCCCTGCGCTAAGCAGTCAGACCCCACGGTGCTGGACCTCACACTGCGTGCCATCTCCAAGCAGACCACCACCAAGGCAGCCCAAGTCCGTAGCATCGAGGAGGCCAGCAAGAACCCCAAGCTGGTCCAGAACTGGATCGAGAGCATCAGCAACTTGCACCGCTCCAAGCCGCCTCCGACAGTCCACTACAACAAGTAAGTTGTAAGGTGTAACCAAAGTGATCCACTTGAATCCCCAGAGATGAGAGCCCTTCCAAGACAGCATCTTGCTCATATCAAAGAAACCTCCGATCCTGAGTGTTGGTATTCTTTGCTTTCTAATCCTCACAATTTCCTTTTAAAGGGTCCTGTCGTGCTTGTGGAAACAGAGTAAAAGTCAAGTCCTAAAGACCTTGTTACAAAGGGGGTATGAGTATAAAGGTGCTTCAGACCCAAATGGATGAAGTGGATGTGTCATTCCCTACCGTATGTTGTTTTGGAGCACACGTGTGTATGCACATGCTTGTTACTGGGTTATGGGCGATAACATACTTGCTGAAATACAGACTTTAGGAGGACCAAAAAAGTCCTGATGGGGTTCCACCAGCATAGTGCACGAAATTTTCCCTGTAACACGGGGAAGGCCTATGTGTACCCACATTAATCTACGTGTACCGGTACATGTGTCACTGTCACTCACTGTGCGTCAGTATAAACCAGTAAATTGCTGAGTTTTATCTGCTCATCTGTCAATTCATGTAATGTAAAAGTCTTGAATGGACGGAGATATGCACTGACTTCCTTCAAAGACTACACCCCGAATAATGCTGTGGGGTGTGTGATTTCTCAGGGTTTTTGTAGATTTCATGATTTTTAACCCCAAATTGCCAAATTTTCAGGACATTAAATCATTTAGGTTTGCACAAAGAAACCGTTGAAAGATCTGCATAATCACAGCTCGTTAATGGAAAATGTATTCCTTTTAAGTTCTTAGCTAGTAAAAGCTACAAAAGTCCTATAGTGCTGTCAAGTATATTTTTTCAAAAAAGTAAGAGTATTTTTCAGAGTTGGTTTTTTATGAAGTAGGAACAAAGTCGGACAAAATATATCTCCTAAAAACATACTTGGAATTTTTTTTTTTTTTTTGAAAATATATATATTTGAGAGCACTTCAGGGTTTTCGTAAAAAGCCCCCAAAAGTCAGAGTATTTCCTTAAGGGACTTCGTACATGTACGGTATGTGTGAGCCAGTCTTCAAGTAACAGTCATTTCAGACCAGCTGAAGAGAAGGGACACAACTGATAGTGTTCAAGCTGCAGGCATTTTCAGTATCCATTCTCCTGAGCCAGTCTAAAACATTAATTTAAGACGGGCCAAGCGCATGTTATTCCCATTCATAAACACTTTTTGAGTCGGATAGTCAAAACAAGTTTAAACTTACACAATTTCCAACAGTTTTTGGAACAATTTCGTTTTATATTTGTAAAAACCCTCTAACCATGTAATGGCATGTTCTTCGCATGCATAGTGGTAACCTGTCTCCTTGTATGGAGCATGTATAGTACCATACTGCATGAAGTGGCACACAGCTGGCTGGTGCTCTGTCAATAAGCCTTTTGCGAGTGACCTTTGAATAAAATCTGATACTTTGAGTTCTTTAATTTCACGGATTCATAGCAATTTGAATTCTCCACACTAAAAACGCTGTTGCTATACCCCGTAATTAAGGGCAAGCTTTTGCTTAGTTACATAAGAGACACCTTGCAACAACACGCTCTGCCCAATGGATAAGAAGGGCACAAAGGAACCAGTCCATTCCAGAGATGGTGGTTGCTATGCAAAAGCTTGCCCCGAATCACACAGTATAGCAACAGTGTCTTTAGTCTGGGGAATTCAAATTGTTACGTTTCTATGCAATCAAATAACTTGGTGTACCAGATTTTATTCAAATTTAACTCGCAAATAGCTTATTGTTTATAAGACCGATCATGTGATGGACTCTCAACCAATAGGAATGGCCAAATTGTCCCAGGCATTTATGAATATTGTAGAATTCCAGTTTATGAATGACTGTGTGCAATTTTGCACGTGTGTTGTCCGAATGCTTTTTGAAATACGGCACAGGTAACGCACTTCATGACAATATGAAGTCCCAAATGCTGATGCGTGTGGCAATCTGCAGAAGTGACATCATTTGAGAGAGACCTACCAAGCCTTGTTAAAACCCTCTCTGGATTTTTCATGGATTTCTCTTCATACTGCGATGTTACCTTGCAGGTATCAACAGTGTTTAGTTTAACCCCTTCGCTACGGAGGACTGCTTCTACCGCACCGTTGTGTGAGGATTAGTGCATACCACACAAACAGTCTATTCACCATGCAGCTGCTGGTTCAATGGGGCCTGCTGCTGGACAGAGCTTTCCATTCAGGGCATACCACAGCCCAGCAGTCACGGTCAAAATAATCCCGCCGTGAAGGGGTTAAAATACAAGTCCTAGATCTGTCAATTTTTCCCAAGCTGTCGTTGACATCTTAGCCAGTGCTTTTCTGGCACTGCACCGATGCACACTTTATTACTTTTTGCCCTATTTTTCTTTCAACAGAACGATGCCGGACATCGAATCCCTGATGCAAGAGTGGCCACCAGAGTTCGAGGAGCTGTTGAAGCGCGTGGGGCTGCCAACGGCCGACATGGCCTGCGACCTGGACCAGTACGTGGACATGGTGTGCGCCATCCTAGACATCCCCGTCTACCAGAGCAGGGTGCAGGCTCTCCACGTGCTCTTCACGCTCTACTCGGAGTTCAAGAATTCTCAGGTGAGATTCTAGTCTCTCTGTGTAAGGAGCCCCGAGCTGGCCAAGAGAGGGCGCAATTTTCCTAGCAACGGAGGTTCCTTCGATGGGAACTGCACTTTGCTAGTTTACAGATGACTATGCGTTGTGGTCGTGTCATTTATCAACAGAATGAACACTCCTCAACAACATGGCTTTTTTCAACCAGTAAGTGGGTGCTTATGCTCAAGGCAGATAGACACTCACTTGCTGACAAGCCTCTCGTGATATCACTGATTAATTATGCAAGATGACGCCCGCTTGACCTCCAGATCTTGACTAATCACCAGACACGTATTACGGGTCTCTGGCTACAGTAAGCTCATTTATGTTAAAAGAAAACATGAGACGCCGAAATCCATTCCGGCCAACTGATGTCTCTATACTGTGCGGACTAGTCAGGTCTGCATGCATGTACATGTACATATTGATGGGCTGAAGTCAGTGGCACACCCAACTGGGGAGGGGGGGATTCGAGCCTGACCCTCTCCTCCCAAGGGATTTTTTATTGACATCTATATCATACCTTGTAGCACAGCAGGGGGAGGGGAGTGGTTGAGCATCATGAGTTATTTTTGGAGTGAAATCAAGTCCACGTCACCCCCCCCTCGGCCTGTAACAGATCCCGTTTGCGCCACTGGCTGAAGTTGGTTTGCATGCGTGTGTCAGTGTAGTTGTCATGCAGAACTACAGAAAACTACATTTCCCTGGTCAGTAGGCCTACTCTTGTGTTAAGTTGGTTGGGTAATTTTGTATGGATTATGACCCACTTGGAAAAATTGCAAGGTACATGTACGCGTTCCATTTAGATCACTGGTGGGGGACATTGTTTATAAGGCAACCCCTTGCTTCTGCAAATCGTCAGAAAGTCTATATGGGAATGTATGTATGCATACAGACAAAAACCAGTATAGGAGATTCCAAGCCTTAGGGTACAGCCCTGAAAGCTGTTGTCTAAAGGTCAAGTCTCAAGCTACTCATATGAAGTGCAGCAAAGGCGTTTCTGTTACCATTGTTCATCGCATGTAACTTTTGCCTTAAGTTGCGATGTGACCTTGTATTTGACATGCCCCCGAAGTGCAGTAGATTTAACTGAAACACTGTCAATACGGGCAGTTCAGAATAGTGCGCCTCCAAGAGTTTGCAACCTGTTGACCAATCACAGTGCACAAAATCTCTTGACCCTTTCGTAACATGCACTGGGTTGAAAGATTTCGCGGACTGTGATTGGTCATCGGGTTGCAAACTGTTGAAGGCGCACTACATGCATTGTGGATCGACCATATTGCATTCCTCAAATCTGACTGTACATCTAACGAGGCACTCCCCAAGATTTCAGGATTCTCTCTGTTGCCTTATCTCTGCAGCACTTCAAGAACCTGGCCGAGGAGAACAAGTTGGACAACAAGCTGAAGCACGGCGGTGGGGCAGACGGCAATGGGGATGACTATGGGGGGCACCTCAGGGGCTGGTGGGGAGGACGTTGATAGATTAGTTTTCTGAAATTCAGGGGATGTTTGATACAGAGATCTCCCTCTGATATCTAGAGTACCTTATCCTCATTCTCATACAGTGAATACTTTCAAACCGTCCAGGGGTGTGGAATTTATGCCACTGCGTACCGGTACATTTTTAAAGTGTATTGAAACAGGGTGGAACATAATTTTAAATAATGTGTTCCAAATAGGCAAGACAATGAGAAATTTCAAACATCACAGCCCAAACTACATGTATTCATGGCACATAGTACTACTGACTTGACATTCTGGTGTTTGGGCACTGACACGTTAATGCGGAGTCCATGAATGCATGTGCAAGTGGACATCCAGGTACTTTGTATCTTCAAACCGTGCATACATTGTGCCATTTGGAGTTTTGCTCTACTTTGTATGCAAACATGGTTGGCTGCAGCGGGCAAGCTGGCACTCAAGCAGTTGCATGTGACGACTGTGCGGTTTTGTGAAGTTTGTCTTTCGTACATATGGACCTGAGTTCTTAACCCTAACCTTCCCCATTCACACAAAGTTAAACACCCATATGGGACTTTGTGCACAGAGGCTGTTGGACTTTGTTTTTCTGAGGTATGCCAAACCCAATGCAGAAGCCAGCTGCTATGGGCCTATCGGTACCAGACCTTTCCCCACAGAACTAAACACTTCTACTGTTTAATTCTGTGTGGTTGGGGAAGGCTAGGGTCAAGGGGAAAATTCCCACACCCCCATTAAGGTCCAAAAAGGCCTACATATAGCTCTTTAAGATTAAAAGTAAAATTGAACAAGGACCAGTTACAGGTGTTATCCCTCTGTTTGTATTTAGACTGGTGACCTGATTTCACTTAGCTGACACTGAGGAGTACTTCATAAAATGAGGCTATAACAGTTATTGTGGCATTTTTGGATGGTTATTTTGTGTGGAACTGCAACAATTGTGTTGACAAAACGTGTAACATTCAGCCTTTAACATACATGTACATGTATCGAAGGCTGTTGGCAGCTGAAGATGGTCTGGGTTTGCATGGTCCTGTTTACTCAAAGGTTGAGTTCCAGCGGCCTGTTCTTGACACGGGTTTCTCATTCGAACGTTCAAACAGTGGGAACTCGACTCAAGAACACTGTTCTTGGAACAGAATCACACACCACCTCCTTGTCAGGGTTGTACAGGAACACGGAAAAACTTGTGAGATTTTGATTTTTGAACAGCTGCAAAAACCAGAGAGATGGTAAGTTATAATGCTAGAGACAATGGGAAGTTTTGTAAAATTAACATAAATTCTTTTCCGTAACACAGAAATGAATTCAGCCGAATAATGTACATGGATGCCCACGCCACGTTGCATGTTGCTTACCTCTAACTGCCTGCAATAACCAGTTGTTTGTTCCTGGCATTCGAGCAGCCAACCCACGAACAACAAATCGAGCTGTTGGTGAACATACGTGTACAAGAACAAGCCGCCCAAACTCAGCCATTGTGCCGTCCCATTGTTCCTGTGATGGGAGGCAGGGCGCCCTCTGTGGTTCATGTGCACAGGTACATGTAATTGGCACAATGGAAATAAGCCCACTCTGACCCCTTTGTGATACATGTACATGTAATAAGATGATAAAAACCATTGAAGAGGCCTAGGGCTTCAGGGTTTTCTTCAGAAATCACACATTTTTCAACAAGGACCCTTTGGCACTGACATGACGGGTTGCACATTCAGTCCCTTTCTCAGGAATCTTGGGAAGTTAGTTTTGTTAGGGATTTTAAAATGAAACATGGTTGCATTGCTAATAAAGACCAGCGACAAATTGTTCAGGGAGTGTCTTGTAATGCAGAACACTTCATCACTCGAGAGATGCTATTAAGACTAAGAGGCATGCAGCCTTCCTGTTACATGTAGTGTAGTTGATGCCAAATCTCTGGCAGTTTGTTCATTTTTGGCCCCAAAATGCAGTCAGAAATGTACATGCAAAACCTTGTATGCAGCGTCATTCATTACAATCAAAACACTGTATCACTAACCTTAACCCCAGGGGTATAAATGTATTTCCTACTGAAATTGGAGGATCGAGGACCATTAGGGTTACATACTGTACATGTATATGTACAATGTACATCCATAATGTGCTTTCCAGTGTTTGCAATGAATGAGGTCCATTACCAGGTTTTGGCCGACTGTTTGTACTGAAAACCTCATACAAGTAATGCAATCCAAGAGCCGTAATTCTGTCTGTCTCTTTATTCATAAACTGTGTATAATATGGTGTACAAAATCTATTATCTGAGTACTAGTCCGAGTAAAATCTTTTTAAAAAATTACAAAAGTAGACAGTTACTATTCCAAGTTAAAAATAGTTTGGTCATATTTAGATACATGTACTTCAGTAAATTTTGTCTGTTACATTGTACCTATTGACATGACCTGATAACTACATGTAAACTGATATTTAGGTCACAAATATATGTAAATGTACATGTATTGCTCTGCCTCATCTTAATGGAACACATTCTGCTGACTGTGAAAGACACGAGTTAGGCAGCATTTGGTAATGTCACCTTTGGCACATGTACATGTACATGTAACTTGGACATTGCCAATCTCATGTACATTGTGTAAAAAAAACAACACTACACAAGAAGATGTAAAATGTACAAATTGCAGAATCAGAGTAACATTGGACATTATCTTAAAGCAAACCTGAATTCCCAATTCTGATTGGTCGATCCATGGCAACAGTGTGGCATACAACTGTACTGCAAGGTTCATGTTAAACCCGCATAATGAGCTGTTTGAACTCGATGTAAAATGCATTGCACGGCTGCAAAATTTACTGTAAAATCAAAGCAGCCGGCACGTTTCCACTAATTATCTTCATTGCAAGTCAAGTTTACTTGAAGATACATGTACATGTAAATTATTTCTCACGTTCATGCTTGTGAAACACAATAATGTAGTCCATCTGTGTCCCACTAGAGCTTGTGTGATAACTAATAATGTCACACATCTTCAAATCTTTGGATACAGTATGTCAGAAAGTTGACGCTTAATTCATCAGGACACCTCTGATACATGTAACATGTCATGCACATCATTGTACATTTACTTGGTACAGGATCAATTGTAAGTATGCAAGTAAGCATAAATAAAATCTCAAATCGTGAAAAGGCTTGAGTATAGATGGTTACATGTGCGTACATGTATTTCAAGTTATTTTACTACATTGCAACATTACGGCACATCTCTTGAGGGGGGACAGGAAACTTGTTAACCCCACGTTTCAGAAACTCTTATAGCCTTAACATCTATGCCCATGTTACTACAGTGCACCAACAGAACGCCTTGATAACACAGCACATTTGTTATTCTTTGTGTTTGCCTGATCCTGAAATCCTCAGCAGTCATGGATTGCTGCAATGGACAAGCAGAAAGATGGCTCAGAATTTTGACAAGTATTGGAGCTCTCTACCTCGAAAGTGCCTTGAACGGAGCAGTCTTCCCTCTTCTTTCGGATTGGGATTGGGCGTCCACTCATCGAGCCGCCCGCAATTCAGTTGTCTCCGCGAACACTACTGCTGAGACAGGAACACATGCGAGCATCGCAGCCGCTGGCATTTTTGTCTCTACTGGTTTCCTGGAACTGATGTGTTCTCCCATTGCCGGCCTGGCAGCCGATAGATGTGGATTTGATGCCGTTATTCTGTTTGGGTTACTTCTTTCCACATGCCGTAGGTGCATGAGAGCTGTCTTCACGAATTCGTGTTCAGTGTTGTTTGGAAAAAAAAATGTTTAATACATATATTATATATATAAACACAGTACAACGATTACATATACAACTAGTCTTCCGCCAACACCTCGTTCCTCGCTCGAAGAAACCTTGACGCCCTCCTCCTCATATAGAGACATTTTATAAATTTATTGGCTTGTGTTTGATATGTCTTCAATCTAGACGGG